CGATCTCGCCTTCGGATAATAGTACGACTATCTAGTAAATAAGCCCTAGTAGTAGTATTACTATAGGCAGCACTATACCGGACCGGTCTACTACTCCTAGTAATGCTACTACTCTAGGCAGGAATACGAGTATATCTAATAATACTCCGTAGCGGGTAGATAGTACTCCGTAGAGGCTAGTCTTTCTAGGCGCCGATCCTTATAAGCGGATTCTATTAGAGTAGTAGGCGTAAAACCTACGCGACGTAGCGTATCGTAGTCGAGACCCTACGCGATAGCTATAAGATAATATCTTCTAATAAGAAGCTATAGAAAAGGCCGTATCTAAGGATAGGGTAGATACTACCCTAGCTAGGGCGCGTATATAGAAGGAAAAGAATTAAATCGTACTACTAGGTAGTAGCGGTAGTAGTAGCGGGTAGTATAGCGGTAGTAGCGGCAGTATACGAACTCCGTAAGATTAGACTAGGACTCCGTAGCGATCTATACCGTTCTCCGGCGGGTCTAATACGTCTATTATATCGCTACCGATATCGAATATAGCACTCTCTTAACGTACGCTATCGATGCCCCCTCGATTCGAAGACCGCCTACTACTTATAGGTCTATATAACTATAGTCGCTGCTTAAAGGAGATCTGCGACAGCGCTATAGAACCGAGATAAGCTAAGACTATATATAGCAAGGACGGTATAGGTACGCGATAGCAGATATATAATCGGTACTATAGCGAGCAAGCGAAGCGGACCTACGACTAGCTACTATAGTAGTTAACTAAATAGGCTATCTAGGAGCGAATAGGTAGAAGCTTCTAATTTAATAAAGTTATCTTTAATCGTGCCTTTAATATCTTAGAAACGCTACGCAAATTAGCCGAGAAGGACCCGAAGGTATAGGAAAAGAAGTAGCGCGAGTACGTATATAAACTCTATAGTATTATTAAGAAGTTCCGCCTCGGATCTAGCGACGTCCTTAAGGAGCTCCTTAAGGGCCTAAATAAGGAGCGCGATACGAATAGCGGGTAGGTATAGGGCACGATATACGCTAACGGCCGCTCGGTCTACTACGCTAGTTATAACGGTCTATCTAAGAGCCGTACTCTCTACCTATCGCTCCTACTAGCTAATATCGTTATCGACGAAGAGGTTAAGGTAGAAGTATACCGTTACTTATATACTATTAGTCCTAAGCGAGTAGTATTATAGCAAGAATATAGAGTAGATACGAGCGAGGGCTAGCCCGCTACGGACTTTCTTTGCTTCTATAGGTTTACTTCTTCTCTAATATTTTACGGTTTACCGGCTCTAGTTCTTTTAGTATTAGTACGATAGAATAGATAGTGTTTCTCGAGTAGTATTAGTATTGTTCTTATTATATAATACGATACGAGGGCCGAGTAGAGCTATTAGATACTATAAATCTAATTATAAAAGGCATTCTGCTACTACTCTCTTGTCCGCGGCGGCCTAAAGTACTTCCGTAGCTCTTATTCGAATATCCGTCCTTCTAGTTCGTTCGAGTTTTCGGATATAGGGTACGGATTCGGGAGTATAATAGTAGTATAGTAAAAAAAACAACTGCTAAAGTCGAAGTAAACATTAGAACTTCGCGTAAAACTTCCTAAAATAGACGTTATATAATTAAACTATTAGTAGGTCTGATATATCTAGTATTATATCTTCGATATTTTTAAATATTACATTTTAGTAATCCGTATCTAGTCTTGTATCGTAAGTATCTAAATCCGTATCGGGTACTACGGCTATAGATACGCCTTTACGTAGATATTTTGCATTAAAATCCTATACTTCCTTATAGATTTTATTAATACTAGCTTAGTACGGGTTAGGTATAATAGGAGGATTATCTACGCTATAGCACCGATCGACTGCGCTACGGTATATAGTAAAGAGTCGAGCGGAGAGCCCCTAAATTTCGTAAGTTGTATCCTTATAGGAATAATTAGTAGTATTCCGGATCCCGAATTCGTCCTCGAAAGCATTATTTACTTATATTATAGCGAAAGTATTATATAAAACACGATTAAATGTTTCTACTGTATTATACGTCGAATTCTTAAAATTTCGTATATTATTTTTATACTATAAATTAATTAGTTTAAGCAATTCGTCTACCGCGATCCCTTTCCTAGGCCTACCTATTATATTTACGACGCCGCCGGCTAGAATCGCGCTACGGAGATATAGAGATGCGCCCTTAAGTAGCTAAATTAGATATAGCATCTCGCGCCCGTAGTTATATTATCTAGCTCCGAAAAATACTACTACGAGCTACGGTAAGAGACGTTTAATATAACTAATATCTATATTACGAGTCGTATATCGGAGAGTTAACTAGAGCTCGGTTATATAGAGTCGCTAATGAAGTGTAGTTTATATAGGATCGCGGATTCTAGGCTATACCTACGGGATAGGCTCTAACTATAGCGGAGTGCGGTATATCTACTATAGAGAGAGTAGCTTTGTCTTAGGTATACTATATACCCGTTCCTATTCTCTTTTTAGCTATACTAAAGGCCGCAAGTAGCTATTATATATAGCTACTAAGAACTAAAGATATTTATCTATAGTAAGATCTACTATAGTAGGTACAACCGCTCTTAGCTTACTAAAATTAGGAGGTAAATCCGTAGGGAAATATTCGCTATAGTATAGCTGCTTAACGAATAAGGCGATAATCCTCGCGGAGTACCTATAAAGCGTAACGGGACGTAGTATCTAGTATTTTAGTTTTTTCTCGGTTAATCCTTTCGTACTAAATGCCTACTTATCCTAGAAAAGGCTATATTCCGACCTAGTATCCTAACTAACACTCTAGAAAAGGCGAACTAGTATATAACAGAGGTTTATAGTAGTATAGAAGAGTCCCGTAACAGGCATTATCTAATCCCGCCGCTCGAATAGCCTTATACTTTTAGCGTTTTTACCTTTGTTACTCCGTATACGCTATACCGACTATTAATCTCCGTAGAAAAGCTATAACCGTATAAGAAAGTCTACGACTAGGTTAAGGCGCAGCTTATATAGTATAATGTCCTCTTATACCGCGGCGTTCCTATCGATAGTACTCTCGCTATAGTAAATCGTACTAAGCGGGTAGAATTCGGTTTTAGAGGCCCGTAGCGGACATAGTCCTAGCTACTACGTAATCGACTTAACCCGAGGGTCCTCGACTACGGTTACGAGCTTATTTTCGAAGATGCTTATAATCGCCGCGTATATATAATATATCGACAATTTCCGAGACTATTTGTCTTCTCTAAGCGTAGGGGCATTATAGATATCCGTAGCGTCTAGTCGCGTATCCGCCTTAAAATCGTTAATATATAGGCTAGTATCGGGATAGCGAATATATAGAGTAAAGCGCACTAGTAGCGCCGTAGTAAGATTGCGTATAACCGACTAATTAGATATAGTCTAATCCCGAACCGTATCCTAGAAATTGATATTATCGTAGACTACGTACTATATAATATTATACGCTAACCGGACGAGTCTTTCCTATATAGAATAAGTACGAGTTAACTATAATGCGATTAAATAGCTACCTTCTACTCGCTTCTAGAAAGCTTCTCCTTATAGTATAGTGCTATATACGTAGCGATTAAGCTAATCCCCGATAGGATATCTAATACCCTCCGCTTTACGCTATTTAATAGGAGGTACCGACCGAATGCCTTTACAAACTAATTAGATTTATTCCGAGAGCGAGTATAGAGGATAAAGGTAGTAAGGGTAAATATTCGTATATCGAGATTATCCGGCTCTTTATTACGCTACCTAACTAATACGCTACGGGCAAATTAATACTACGCTAGAGCAATATCCTAGATAATCTTATATATATCCTTAAACTACTAAACGGAGAATTGATTATCGAATCTATTAATAGGTTCGAGTAGCGTAGTAGCCTAGTCGCCCGCTATAGCCTTAGATACCTCCGTAGCGGATCGAAGAGTCCTCTACTATTTCCTATATAAGCTCTTTCTAATTAGGTAATCGAGTTTACGAATAATATTACTATTCTTACTACTAGATAACTTAACCTACTTCGATTTACGTAGCTCCGTATTTAATATAATAGAGAGCTAGCCGACGCGATACGTATAGGACTTACTCTATAGTTTACTAGCTTAGTACTATACGACCTTCTCTATAGTAAGGTTATTTTCCCGTATCTTACGTATTACTTCTTTATAGCGCTGTCTTTTATCGCGACGAGCGCGGGGCTAGCGAGTTACGTAGCGGGTCGACTCGTTATTACTACTACTAACGCTACTACCGTCTATACTACTATCTACTTCTAGTTATAGGCGATCCGCTAGGTCCTTCTCTTCGGTAGACCTGTTACCCGGATACTTATAAGATAGAATACTAGAAAGATCGGAGGAGGTAGATAGACTAGAAGGAGAGCGACTAGATATATATCTATCTATAGCGGAGGATAGAGATAGTCTTATAGAAGTAGGCTAGAAAGCTGTAAAGGGTATAGTCGTAATAGAAATACGCGATAATATAGTCGCATCTACCTAGCGTATATCGCGACGTAGGCGCTATAACGACGACGGTATATTTATACCCGATTTCGTACTCGGGAAACTTTAGGAAAAAGATAGTAATATAGAGAGAGGTATTCCCGCTATAGAGAGAAGTTTTTACTATAGGAAATAGTCGTTCTAGTAATAAAACTAGGGTTATACGATTCTCCTATATAAATATTTAATATAGAAAGTCGAAATCCCGATAGAAACGGCCTAGATAAGAATAGCGATTCCTATATTCCTCGCTCTAATTAGTAGAAAAATTTGCTTAGCTCCGTATAGTTTTTATCTAAGCCCGCTACGGAGTAGTCTATATACAGGACGCGGACCGCTATATTCCGCAAAGGCAAATTATCTAATAATAAAACGCAGGTAAGAATATAAAGGTAGGAATCGCTAACATTCTCGTCTGGTCTCGAGATAGGGCATTTTGCATCTCTCACCACACTGAACAACCCGAGCGGCAATCTCGCGCCTCAAGACTTGTAGAATATTCACTACATACCTCATTCGCCGTGCTACACTCTTTCTGGGTACACCCTGATGCGTACGCGAGACTCAATCCTACAATCGCTGAAGAAATGCATCTGTACATTCAGATTTAGAAGAGCGAGCAGAATAATGGACATATGGACAATCAATTACAGCCCATGGAAGCTAAAGTACGCAATAATGTAGAGGACAACGCAAATATGGGTGCTGTGGCTCTTGTGCGCCATCTGAACAGATTGCCTCCTGGGCAAATCCTGCGCCGTCAGATCAGTGCTCGTGCTTCCTGCGTTTAGAAGAGCGAGCAGAATAATGGACAGATGGACGATAACAGCCCATGGAAGCTAAAGTACACAATGATGTAGAGGACAACGCAAATATGTGTGCCGTGGCTCTTCAGCAGATTGCCTACTGGGCAAATCCTGCGCCGTCAGACAAGTGCTCGTGCTCCCTGCGGCATATCGCAACAATCCCCGGAGAACCACAATAGCTCTCTAAAGGAAGATAAGCCTGCCCCTTGGGAGCCACACTGTCAGTAGTCAGCTGGCAGCCTTCGACACGAACTCTGCCGGAACTACCGGCACCACCACTCCTTTCGCGAAGTAGAAATCACCTTGGTCGGTTTTCCGCACGACACTAGGCACCACCCCATATAGCACCTTCTTATTTCCTGGATATTCATGCAGTGACTCGTGGCGGAGCATATCAAAGGCGTCTCCATGCTTAGCGAATCCTATCCGGAAGGGACCCAAGTTTGAGGATCCGAGCACCTGCTTAACAACTATAGCCGTCTGAAAGGCACGCCCGAGGAAGAACTTCCAGTCTCTGCTGCCGATAGGTTGTGCAGGTTGGCCAGCCTTGAGTTTGTAGTGATGCGGAAGCAGGGCCGCGGCGGTCTCCTGGACGCGTTGTTTTGCATATGGCGCCACCACGTCCTTTTGGAACTCTGAGCTGCAGATTTGCTTGCCGACAAGATAATTGAGCCATCTGTCGTAGTCATAGCCCATGTTGCCAAGCACGGCTTGGACATACTTCAGATCCGAGCCCAAGGAAGTTTTTAGACGGTTCCCGAGGTCCCACGGCAATGCTGCGAGGAGGCCCCATTCATGAACAGCAGCGCCCAAAAGAGCTGTGAGTATGTCGGTCTGTCTGAGACGGTGGCCTTCGGCCTGGATCTGAGTGATCTTCTCGAGCCACTCCTTCCCGAACACTCGCCCATATAACTCTGACAAGCGCTCGCCGGCATTAGGCACGAACCTTGAATCGGCGTCCTCGTCGATGCCGTTCTCGCGGCAGAATGTAAGGACTGCTTGTTCGATATCTGATCCGATAGTTGTCATGCGAGTGGTGACCCATTTTCCCTCGCCTTGCGGACGGATTTCCGTAGAATGCGCCGGGTCCTTATTGGGCAAGAGATCTGGTGTTTTCCGTCTCGAGAATCCTCCTGGCCGAGACCATTGGCGTCGCTCCTCAGATCGGCCCTCATTTTGCCGCGCCGCCATCACAGATTGACCGTCGAGGTCGTCAGCAGCTCCAGGCTCGACTAGGGCGGACTCAACATAGCCATCGATTTTTCGCTTCTTCGGCGGAGCGCTTTCAGCGGTGACAGAGCGTGGTAAAAAGCGCCGACGGTTTAACCACGCTCTGTCACCGCTGGACCAATTTGCAAGCTTGGGCTCTTTGGACGGTCCGCTTCCTGCGTCTCGGAGTCTTCCGTGGCAGGTTCTGTTGCTGCTTCCTTCTCCTTTCCGGGTTCGCCTTCGCTCTCACCGCCAAAGTCCAAGCCATGCTCCTTCAGAAATTGGTCCTTGAGCACTATACGCGGACCTTGAGAAAACAAATCATTGATTCCGTGTCGTTCGTACTTTACGATTCTTCCATATACCCGCCTGTCTTGCTTGCTGGAATGGCTGACCACAAGTCATTAAGGATCTGGGGCAAAAAAAAGGGTTGGTAAAGAGGAGTTCATCGCGTTGCGCCGTCAACACACGCCTTCTGGCCGGCATTTGGAAGTTCACCGCGAACACAACTCTGAGATGCAGTTCAAGAGGTGGTCCGCAGGTTGCATACAGTTAGTGTAGTCTTGAGAGTCGAGCGCAGAGCGCGCAAAGTTGGTACTCGAAGACAAGACATGACCTCCCTCAGTAATTGAGATTTAGCCACTTCGTCGATGCCGCGAATGCCCTGTACCACCAGAAAGGCTGTAGATAGACAGAGAACGGATGATATAGGTCTCGAAACGGTTTCTGCAATGTCTGTAGCATGGGCGACCCGTGTGGGTCTCTGCTGGTAAGGAGCCCTTGAAGTATACTACCCCATGGCTCAACCAATTCATCTACTTGTGCTTGTCACAAGCTGAGAGAATCCCGCATCGCGGATCAGTCATCTTCGAAAGCTACTTATATCCCGATTCGCAACCAATCCATGAGATGCTCCATTCTGCAGCTTGCCGAACAAACGCTGCATGCGGGCCGTTGAGAAAACATTGCCAAGGCTCCAGAAGACATTTGAGGCCGTGCCCGCGACCATCACATCTTTGGCCTCAAGTTGATGTTTCACTTCGAGTGAATTGACCACTTCGCTGCAGTGCTCTCGCAATTCCACAGTCGTACTATCGCGCACTACACCAAACATCAGTCAGAACCACAAACAGCCAAGTCAACCTCATAGCCAGTCAATATGGTCTACGTGCCATGGGAAGAAGAATACGGCATTTGCAAATTCCATGCGATGCACAAGACCAAATGCAATCATCCAGAAACTTGCAGATGGGTCCATCCGACCGAAGATGAAATCCGCAAGATTTGGGACCATCACTCATTAATTGAGGCTCGCGACAGAAGCGAACACATCGTGCCTTCGAGAGAAGTCGATGCGCCGAGATATCATGATCATGGCAGCAGTCGAGCGCCGCCGCCGCCGCCGCCTCGAGGCCATCCATTCGCCGGTGATGGGCACGATGAGCACTTGCACGACGATGGTCGCCAACACCAGAGGTATCACCATTTGCCTCCTCGACCACCGCCGCCACCGCCTAGATATGCTGAGAAAGAGGACTTTCCACAACCACACCAGCGGCCTTGGGCCAGGGACCTGGGAAATAATGTGAGCATTCATCATTTTTGATCGAGGACTAGCTGACTCTTATCGATAGCAATCGAATCTGCATCCTAACCGGTACCATCTCATAGATGAGCCAGGGCGCTACAATCCAGCAACCTTCTCCGATAGAAGATCACCTCCGTCACATCTCCCTCACGCCGACAGATTGAACTTGATATCTGATGCGTTGGGATCGTACGCGTCGCCAGCACCACAGTCCGACACGCGTTATCTCAGTCGCGATGAGAATCCCAAACCGTCCTCATTCCGTCCAGAGCCACATTTAGATTTTAGAGAATCTACGCCGCCAAGCCAAGCGTCCTATGTCGCACCTCCAGGAATGGACAACAGAACAGGTCAGCCTGTGGGACGGCACTTTGATCCGTCGGCTTCAGAAAACCCCTTTATCAACGGAGCCATGATCTATCGCTTCGTGTGGGGCGATCCTCTTTGCGTGCGCTGCGGTACTACAGGACACTTGCCAAGACAGTGCAAGAGTGATCCTCTACCGATCGCGGCACAAGATTACCTCTACCGCATTATGCGCAAGGAGCAGAACCGTAGCAAGGCTGAGCGAGGGCTCGACGTCAAGAACTCGACGGATAGCCTGAGACCGACGCCAGAGCACATGAGCTCACGGCCATCAACGCGCAATGGCTCACTGCCGCCAGTAGAGTTCTGGCCAGATCCAGCGCATGGTCGATCGATGCCTAACGAGCCTCCACCGCCTCCGATGCGTGCGATTGACCAAGAAGACAGGCGTGCTGGAGCCTCGTACTGGGACCGTTACAAAACGCAGAAGAACGGCCAGGCTGGATCACTGCTCCAGGACGAACGGTATCGCATGGCTATGCATCATGAGCAGGCGACGAGTAGCAATGAAGCCGCCAACGAAACCTTGCCAGGCACATTGACGCTGGACGGCACGGATGATCCTAGGGATGCACCGGAAAAGCCAAGTAACGATGCAAAGGCGGAAATGAAAGCAACGAAGGAGAAGAAGAAGGGAAGTAGTGCTACAGCTGTGAAAGTGGAGGCTCCGACCCGGCTTGGCACGATCGCGTCAGCCGAAAGGCCTCGACGCGGCCTGTTGAAGTCAAGATCACCCCCAACGCAGAAAGCTCATCGGACGACGACAGCAAAAGGCCCGGTGCCTCAGAAGACTACAACAGCCTTCGCGATGGGCGCGACGAAGCGGATGTCGAACGGCGAAGCGAAAATTATCGGCCCTCATCCATCGACCATCCGCGTTTCGGCAGCATACATCACTCAGTCGGCCATCGAGAAGAAGCTTGCTCCCTCAGGCCCAGATGCGCAAGAGAGAAGTCTGCAAGAAGCTCGCGAGGACACTGCTCGGCTGCAGGGAGTGGCGTGGCTGGATAATGTCCGCCGTGCGCTTCAGCTGCCCATCAAGACCTACACTACTGCCTGCGTCTACTACCACAAATTTCGATTGGTAAACCAGGAAGAGAAGTACTTGTTGAATTGGACCGAGCCGGCAGCTGCGAGCTTGTTGACGAGTTGCAAGAATGAGGATACGCTGAAGAAGAGCCGGGACATTTTGGCGGCAGCATGGAATATGAAATTGGCAGTGCACGAGCAGATTGGCTCTGACGATCCTCTTCTGGAGCAGCAACAGCGCAGTGTCATTGGCGTTGAGCGCATGGTGCTGGAAGCAGGTGGCTTTGACTTCCGAAGTCGAGATCCACACCACGTGCTGATCAAGATTGGCAAGAGCTTGCGCAAGAGCGAGGATTTGAGATGCGTGGCCAAGCTGGCTTGGACAATCCTGACAGACTTGCACCGGACGTTTGCGCCGCTCAAGCAAACGAGCTCAACTCTTGCGCTGGCAAGCTTGGAGCTTGCTGCGCACTTCAAAGCCGCAACATCGCCAAACAATGTCTGCAGCGTGAGGGATGATCTGCAGACACTGCATCTGAAGAGATGGCATACGACTCGAGAAGAAGTGATGGAGACATTGCTGGATGCCTTGGACTTGTATACTCATCACACACAATCAACCATTCTGGGTCCCAAGATCAAGCTGGACGACATGCTTCGAATCCGCCTTGAGCTCAACAAGGAGTGCTCTGACTCCAGCCTGCCACGATACACTGTGGTTCAGTCTCCACCATCGCCAGACAACACCAATGGCAATGGCAGTACTCTTCGTGTTGCTAATGGCCATCCCACTCCGATATCCCCTCCCCAGCCAGGCACACACGCGCCACCACAGCAGGTCAACAACTATATCGAGAGTCAAACGGCACCCCAAACGAATGGCACGTTGCGTTTCATGCTCGACCCACAACGTGCCACAGATGAGCGAGTCGAAGTCAAGCGTCACTTCACGGAAGAATGGGAAGAGTACGAAGAGGAAATCGAAGTCCCGATCCCACGAAGCCACGATCGTGACCGCGATCGCGACCTTTCCAGAGACCGAAGCAGACACCGAGATTATCCTCCTGGTCGTGAGCCACGTGATAGAGACCGGCATGGAAGAGACTATGATGACAGGCGGAGTGCTAGAGATTCCCCTAGAGGATCTGCTCCAGACCGAGAGCGAGGACCCCCTAGAGACCGCGATGACAGGGCTAGTGACCGAGATCGTGAGTCTGAGCGCGAGAGGCCGAGAGCGAGGGATCGCGATCGGGATAGTCGGTATGATGAGCGTCGGTCGGCAAGAGATGATTATCGAGAGCGGGACAGATATGACCGGAGAGATCATGGAAGAGATGATGATAGGAGACGCTCATACTATGAGGATGATCGTAGGCGGGATAGGCGGTGATGAGGACGTGGTATTGCGCGTGAGTAGCGACAGGACTTGACAACGCAAGAACTGGTGAGCCACTTCTCACTCTGAATTCATGTTCTTGAATTCATGTTCCTATGCAGATTATCTCGAATCCACCGCTGCTCCTTGCAGCTCCTGCTCGCGCTCAGGCCGCACGGGCGTTCTCAAGTTCTAGAAGGAAACACCTGCCACTGCTCACTCTGTCCACTTCATTCCAAAAGACCCACTCACGACCACACAAGCAAAGCCGGTGCCGTCTGCCTGGGGGAGAATAGGACTCACTTACCGCTCATACCTCATCCTCTTGAGCCATATTCTCATCCTCGTCCTTCTCCGCATCCGCGCCCTTCTCTCTCTTCGTAGCAGGCTCATCATCACTCTCCAACTCCGGAATCAAAAAATCTGGATCCTGAATTCCCTCCGGTGGTACTGTCCCAATGCTGACCATAAGCTTCTTGTACTGTCTCTTCAGCACGAGACCCATGTACCGCTGTCCACCTTTCTCCTCCACAAGATTGGCGATGAGCTCCCACTTCGTCGCATCAAATGTATCCTCAACTTGACGCTTAGCTTGAAGAAGACGTTCATTGTCACCTTCTTCGATCACGGTGAGATTGGATCTGCGAAGCAATTGTCAGTCAGGGCGGTACCTAGAATAACAAGGTAACACGTACTTAATCCGCGCATAGCGATTAGGCAACGTAGAAGGCGCAGTCCCCTCTCCCGTGAGCTCCGTCCACTTCGGCCTAATATCCTTCCAATCGCCACCATCATCGCGGAGCTCGAGGAGCATTTTGTCCGCCTCGTCGCATTCATCATACGAGCGAGGAATGGGCCGAGTCTGCGCGATCTTCTTACCAGTCGACTTCCGCTTCTGCTTTGGACGTGCGAGGGCTGCTGCTGCAGCTTTTGATGGCCCTGGTGTGCCGGCGGAATGTTTCTTTACCTTTTTGACTTTTGGACCTTCGTCGGATGATTCGCCAGGCACGACGATTCTGCGCTTGCCGCCGCCGCCTTTGGTCTTCTTGACGGTCTTGGTTGCTGGAGGAGTGTCCCAGTGATCTGCTGAGACGTTGGCGGGGGTTTTGGTGAAGTATTTCTTGTCGGCGCCGGAGATGATGTTCATGTCACCGTCGAAGCCCTCCATGATTGCTGACGTTTTGGAGTGTTTGAGGGAGAGGTTGGTGTGTTGAGGTTGATGATTTGGTGATGTTGATGTCAAGGCGTGGTCGTAGAAGAGGAAAGCTTTTAAGGGTCATGTATGTGTAAAGTGAGGTTGATATCTGGTCCGTGCTGGGAAGAGTAATCAGCATGTGAGAGAGCCACTTCACCTGAAATTAGCTTTGGGTGTGCGAAGATGGATAACTAGCATGCACTGGAAGCTTTTCCACGAGGTGTTTGTCGTCCTGACTTCCATTAGTACAGGCAAGTGTCTACTCGAATGACCTTCCAAGTTTGCGAAAGATAGGTCGACAAGATGGCCGTCGTAAAGTTTATGCGCTCATTTTGATCAAGTATCAAAGCCTCCCTATTATCAAGAATTTACTCAGTTGCCTCCTTGATAGCGTCCGCAATAAATGGTACAAATGTCAGGCTAGACTGAATCTCCGATGTTCCCCACACTGTATTTTATTCTAACCTCGACAGCCACAACCTCGAAGCATCTCACATCTTCTCCATCAACATGTCAAATCCGCCTCCGAAGAAGCGTAGGACTCACTACTATTCTCAAGATGTGGATTTCGAAGCCCTGGCAAAAGTAGATCCAGATTTCGCAGCTCTATCAGCTACCGGAAAGCGCGAGGGGTGGATCGATTTCCACGACCCAGAGGTCGTCCAGTATAGTTTCCATGCTTCTCTAAACAAAATGAAATGCTGACTACATCATCCAGAACACTTACAAAAACCTTACTGAAGCATGACTTCGGCCTTACCTTGAGTCTACCCGATGACAGACTTTGTCCACCAGTGCCTGTTCGATGGAATTACGTCCGCTGGATCCAGGACCTACTCGACACAACCTATGACTCTTACACCGATTACTACGATGAAGAACGAGAAGTGGTAGGCCTCGACATCGGCGTCGGAGCCTCTTGCATTTACGCACTTCTCGCCTGCTCGAGTCGTCCGGAATGGCGCATGGCAGGGACAGACATCGACGCACACTCCCTCGAACATGCGAAACGAAACGTCAAGTCTAATGACCTGGCCGAGAGGATCCGCCTCAAGCAGACGAAATCTACAGCTCCATTGATACCACTCGATGAAATGGGAGTCGAAGAACTCGATTTCATCATGACGAACCCACCATTCTACTCTTCGGAACAAGATTTTCTGAACTCCTACAAAGATCCTGGAAAACCTACTGGTGAAGCTCCATCTGCAGTTTGCGTAGGCTCGAAGAATGAAATGATATGTTCCGATGGCGACGTCGGCTTCGTGACAAGAATTCTAGGCGAAAGTCTCAAATTGCGGGCACGTGTACAGTGGTATACAGCATTTTTGTCCAAAATGTCTTCTTTGCAGCAAATTGTTGCTAAGCTGAAGGAGAATGGGATTGAGAATTTTGCTGTTACGAGTTTACATCCGGGACATAGGACGAAGAGATATGCTGTGGCGTGGAGTTTTCGGGATCTGAGACCCAGGAATGATGTGGCTCGGCATGGGGATTTGGTCTTGCAGGTCTTGCCTATGGCGACTGCCAATACGATCAAGGTGGAAGGGAAGAAGACGAGGGCGCTGGGAGAGGCTGTGAATGAGGCTATCGAAGCATATGAAGGTGTCAAGTGGGTGTGGAGGCCGTTGCTTGATGCTGGAGTCATGCAGTGCAAGGAGGATGTGTGGAGTGGGAAGGCCAGGAGAAAACGCAAGCAGAAAGAAAAGCTCGCAAGTCTGGGCAAAGACACTGAAGTTGAGCCCAGTCCTAATGGAGATGTGGAAGGAGATGAGAACGAAGTCGGACTGGCGGTCAAGGTCTCGTGCAAAGATCAAGAAGTCGAGGTCCGCTGGCTGAGAGGTCACGACCAAATTCTATTCAACAGCTTCTGTGCTGTACTCAGGCGGGCACTGACTGGACTTCGCTAGAGCTCACCACGCATGATTTCTTCCTGCTTTTACCTGGGTTCATAGCCTGCAATGTACCCAATCTCTGATCTCAAGCTCATGTCATCCTTTCTACCACTTCGCCTCCTTGCTCGCGAGGAACTTGTTCAGAATCGCAACATTCTTCTCCAGCCCAACTAACCAATCGCCCAACTCCTTGTTCACTCTCGGCTGATCGTCACCCAGCTTAGCATAGAAGTCTTTCCGATATGGAGTAGCAGACATAGCGGCCGAGAAAATCGGTTTCACGAGAAAAGAGTGGTGCTGCTTGAGTGTCTTTCCATATGCATCGCGAAAGGAAGCTGAAAGCTCTTCAGACGGCGTATCAACATTCTTCCTCAGAGCTTGGGCGGTGAAGTCGAGACCTCTATGTAAGCACACAAAATATCAGCACAGGTCACCATCTCAACATCAATACGGTCCATACCTATTCAACCAAAGCAAACCTTCAGTAGCAGTATGCTTCTTAGTCTTCAACTCATTCCTCACAAGATCCTGCAAGTTCTCGCCCTCCAGGGGTGCGGCAAGTTGCCTGTCTCGCACTTTCTTGATGTTGCCCGTCATATCGCTCTTCACAGGTCCGAAAGCGACTCCTCCTATCACATCGAACAAGGCGGCGACAGCTTCTGCGGCTTCGAGGAACTCTGTCGTGTTGATGGCCTCGTCTTTGCTCGTGTCGACTGTGACATTGTTGAAGGACTTCTTGCCGTCGAAGTAGGTGCCGCCTGGAGGAAAAGACATTTTTTTTTCAATTGGGTGTAGCGAAGAGTTCTTGGAATTTCTGGAATAGGATGAGAGGATCGCGTGACAAGGCTGAGGATGTGGGATTGAGAATCGTTGTGGTTGATATGTTGACGGTGAGAGGACTTGGGAAGCTTCACCCCTGGACAACAAGTGGCTTGTTCCTGAGAAATGACGCGAGTTCCCGGACTTGATACGCCTACCTATTCGAGCTCAAGACTGTCAGCTGGATATTTACATGGATTCTCACAGCAAGATAGATTCCCTTTCTAGACATTCGAGATCTCCCGAAAGACGCTTGAGCAGAAGCCATTCATAGTAATAACACGGTGAACGCCGTCTTCATGGACGCACATGCGGGGGCCTCTCCATCCCACCGGCTGAATGATCAGCCTATACTGTCGCCGACAACGGCAGTAGCAAGTTGTAGACATTGTACACGATATATCCATATATACGTCGACATTCATAGCATCAATCAATCAATACCCGTCATCCAGAACCAATCATGGCCGCCACCAAGACCTACAACATCGCCAGCATCCCTGGAGACGGCATTGGAACAGAAATCACAGAAGCAGCCGAACAAGTCCTACACAAACTCGCCAAAACCGTGGGAACATTCTCCTTCAACTTCACCACTTTCGACTGGTCTTCCAAAGCCTATCTGGAAAGAGGATGGTATATGCCCGAAGATGGAATGCAGCAACTCGCCAAGCACGACGCGATATACTTTGGTGCGGTAGGATGGCCAAGTGTCCCTGATCATGTCAGTCTTTGGGGGTTGATCCTTCCCATCAGGAAATACAATAATCAATATGTGAATGTCAGGCCGGCGAGAATTTTGCCAGGGACGACGGCTCCCTTGGCACAGTTGCAGAAGAAGCCTAGTGATCTGGACTGGGTCATTATTAGAGAGAACAGTGAGGGAGAATATGCTGGGCAGGGTGGCACTACGCATGAGAATAGTCCGCATACGATTGCTACTGAGGTTGCCATATTTACTAGAGTTGGGATCGAAAGGATCATGCGATTTGCTTTTGAGACTGCGAAGTCAAGACCAAGGAAGAAGTTGACGATGGTCACCAAGAGTAATGCTCAAAGGCACGGAATGGTGCTTTGGGACAAGATCTTCATGGAGGTTGCCAAGGAGTATGAGGGTGTCGTTGAATGGGATAAGATGTTGGTTGATGCGATGACTGTGAGGATGGTGAACAAGCCTGAGAGCATGGACACAATTGTTGCCACCAATCGTGAGTATCAGACCTCCTCTGTTTTAATGATCTTGACTGACATCGATATCAGTGCATGCGGACATCCTCTCAGATCTTGCAGCAGCACTTGCAGGCTCGATCGGCATCGCTCCATCATCTAACCTTGATCCAACTCGACAATATCCTTCCATGTTCGAGCCAATTCATGGTTCGGCGCCTGACATCGCAGGGCAGGGTATCGCAAATCCTGTAGGCGCATTCTGGTCCGCTGCTGAAATGGTGCGATGGGTTGGCGCGGGATCCCTCGATGATGTGGCAGACAAGATGATGACTGCTATCGAGAATGTGACCAGTAATCCTGAGACCCGGACGAAAGACATGGGCGGCTCTGCCAATACGAAGCAGGTCACAGAAGCAGTGATCAAGCAGATCGACGTGGTGTTCGGGAAGCAGTAGGGTTGGCCAGATCCGCACTGCCATCATAGAAAACAACTCGTAAAAATCCATCCCAAGCATTCAATGTGGCTCCCACCAGGTACCGGTATCACTCTTCCTCCACGCTCCCAAATCTTCACCAGGTATCACTTTAGTGCGAATCTTGTAGCCCTCCCAAGGCTTGCTTCCAAACTGACCAAAAGGCTTGAAGATACCAATAGCCTTGCCCAAAACCGAAGACTTGCTGATCGGTCCATAAGCATTACTGTCATGCGTACTCCTCCAATTATCACCTTCAACCCAAACGTGCCCTTCCGGAATCTCCTTTTTGCCATGCCCAGCCTCATGCATAATATCCCAGCTCTTACAGTAAGGATTCCGTCTACCATTAGCCACCTCTTCAGGCCTTCTCTTCGGGTCGAGCACGACAGTATCCCCTCCCAAAGCGACGACTCTTTTAATACTGAGATTTTCGGGATTCTGTAGCGAGTGGAACAGGACTATGTCGCCTCTTTGAAGGTTCTTGGTCGCATTCCATTTTTTCCAGATCACGTAGTCGCGCGAACCGTCTTTTGAGTAGTCTGGTGATAAGGTTGGGTGCATCGAGTCGCCATTGACGGACGCGACTTCCACGACTGAATCGTTGATGAAGATTGTGGTGCACACGGCCATTTGGAAGGGTAGCACGGTGTATTTGAAGAATCTACCTATGGTTCCGATGCCATAGCTGGACATTGGACTGTGTGTTGCACCGAGCTGTAGTCGATGATCAGGAATGCAGTGCGCAAGGTCAAGTTAGCAAGTTAGAAGGACCGTGATCGTGCTCGCCCGCGGAGTTATCATTACTCGAATATTGAAGAGAAATTCAAGGGCCGTAACAATCAATAATGGCGGACAGCAGTGCTTCGATGGGATGCATGGGATGTACTTTTGCTCTCTGCTATCTATTTGCTTGGGTCACCTGTGACGTTGTGTCCTTCGTCAAATGCTTTCTGCCGTTGTCTGTTGTTCCAATTAAGCGTCCGTGAAATGCTATCTACCCAATCCTCCCGCGAAGTATCCAAGGGAAGCACAGAAGGGAACGGAAAGCGACTTGCTGATATTGTGACATAGTCACCAGGCTTCAGCTCAGATCTAGAGCAAAGTCAGCACAAATATCAGCATTGATACTCAGGGCGAATTTCACTTACCTTTCCTTTCCATCGAAGCTAGCCCAACAGCTTGCCCTTGCATCGTAAGGCACGCCAATGCGCAAGACAATCGTGTCCGGAAGGATGATAGGTCGGAACGAGAGCGTGTGAGGTGCGATCGCTGTAACGAGAATTACTGGATTGTCGGGGTGGCAGAGACTGCCTCCAGCAGCTAGGTTGTATGCTGTTGATCCTGTCGGAGTGGCGACACAGATGCCATCTGCTTGGACCGTCGTGAAATGCTCCTCATCACCAAAGACTTCGATACTGCTCATAGTCGGATTGGGACCTCGATCAATCACTATATCGTTAAGAATGTTATGAGTGCCATCCGGAGCGTGAGTGGAAGGATCATCGCTGCCGTCGCCGATCAATTCGTCAACGAGGTCGCGCGAGTACTGTTCATCCTCCTGAGCTTTCCGCTTACTTTTCATGATTGTTGCTTCGAACCGCAAGCGCAATGAAACAGTAACGCCCTTATCAAAGGCCCTCGTCAGGATGTGTGGATAGTTGTCAAAGTCAAACTTGGTGAGAAAACCCAATGAGCCAAGTGCGAAAGACATCACAGGCGGCACAATCCTCTGAAATAGCCACGAAGCGTACAGAACCGTACCATCGCCGCCAAGTGCGAGACAGATCTCGAATGTCTGCGGCTTCTTTGCGCATAGTTCATTGGTCCAGTACTTCAGGCGGTCCTTGTATGAAGGGTCCTGGGCTAACAATCCGTCCACGTCGAATGCCTTGTTATCCTTCATGGTATGCTCTACCCAGACCACGTAGCTCTTGCCGTCCGAGTTCTGCTGCTTCAACAGCCACTCGGTCACATCTCGCGTCAGCTTGACGAGCTTCTGATCGTGAGCTTTGGTAAGGAGAAAGACGTTTCGGACTTTGACCAGCAATTTGATTCTTCCCAGCTTCTTGCTCAGCTCTCGTATGTTGAAAGCCATGTCGGATAATTGCTTTTTGGTCAAAAGCCTCGACTGGACATGATGCTCTTCACTTTGTGGTTCGATCTCCTTGGCGGCAGGTCGATGCATACCTTCGTCAGGCTTGATGGGACTTCCAGGTCGGATTTTTGCCGCCAATAGTCCATGTACTATACAGTCTGTCCTTTTGCGACCAGACTCTGGCCTTCCACTTGATGGTACCAGAGACGCCCGCCGCCTCTGCGCATCTTGCTTATCAAATATTACTTCTAACTGTTCTGACAATCCCTCAGAGTCGCTCGTATGCAACTCGCCGCCATCCTCGTCCTTGGGAGTACATCAGCTCCCTGCGACTGATTCAGATCTTCACTGGCCGTACCTCGTGCTGAACGCTGGAACTACGGCCGAACGCTTCCTCGGACTGATCCGCTTTGGCATTGTTGCTGGCGTCCATTTTGTCTTCTGTGGGCAGCTCGTGCTCTGAATGCGAATGAGATCCAGTCATCCACTTCTTCGCGCTCTTCAATAGTCCAGTGACACCTGTACGACCGGTGGAAGATATGCCAGACAGGTAATCGGCTCGTATTCATGACGATGTTTCTGAGGTCGCAGGGAAGCTCGGCACGTTGGTGCCCGTTATCGATAGCAGGGTTCAGCATCTAACAGATTGTGACTGAGAAATTAGTAAGTGAAGAAATGCTGTTCTCCCTTCTGCATCTATCAACACCCACAGGAGCGACGGTCATCAGGAGCATATTGAAGGATGGCGAAGTACGCAATCACTCCTTGGCGCCATCAAAAGGACCTGCTGGAGGTGCGTCGACAGCTATACGGAGAGTCCGATCGCAGACATGCTGTTGATCGGGTAATGGCTTGGAAGCTGCGAGGCAATCTGCCCCATGCAGTCGAGTCGACAGCGCTCTTGGTGGATGCAATTCTGCATCATGGTATAGAAGGTAAGAAATAATCTGACATCGGCTGAGGATCAAGACTGCTAAATTTTGAATACGTAACAGGGACCTCGATTTTCAGTGTCAGAGCAGTTTACAGCGCGGCATTCTCACGATTTGTGACGGGCTTCTGTGACATCGGACGCCATAAAGAACGATTGTTAGAGCCTAGCAGTATGCTTGACATCGCAAAACAAATTGGTATGCCGCCAGCATTTGTTGCTCTGAGACACGAAGCAACACATGAGGAACACCCGGCCATTCAGCGACTAGTCAAGGCTACACAAGAAGCATTGGATTGGCTCTGGAATGTGTATTGGAGTCGTCTTGAAGAACCTGAGTCTGATGCTGCACTTGCTTCGTCACTGCCTAAATTAAGAAGTCGGGCCAAAGAGTTCTTCAAGAGCTGGCGAAGTTCACGGCGGGATGCTGTACGCACTAGAAATCAGCGCCAGCAAGCGGAAGATGTACAATCTGCATCCAAAGCATGCATTCATCTAATCAAGGACAATGGTGATAGTTCTATCGCCCCAAGGACTCGGGCTGTGGCGGATGTGCTTATTGAAGATGGACTTTTGCTACCCTCCAAACGAGAGTTGGGATCATCATTGAATGGAGCATTCTTGATTTGGGAAGCCTTGCTCCGAGATATCGTCAAACAGCAAAAGTCATTCCTTAACGCGCTGGTGGAATGTTCATTGTCAAGCATCGACCAGGGCACCTCAAGGCCACAGGACGATGCGCGAGTTGAAGGCATATGTTTGTGGCTGCTACACATGCTAGACTTTGCTCAGACGGAGGCGCAGCAGACCGCAGTGCGCAGAGAAATCATGCAATGGTGCTGTACCCATCCCGGAAGCTGGTCCTATTTCATGGGGAAACGGTTGCTTGAATCAAGCGATGCCGACCTCGTTGACGATTGGAAGGACGTGCTGGAAGCGAGCCAACTCCAGCAAAGCCAAGGACACTCTGTGGATGATGTTGAGATGGCGGACGTTCAGGGCCATGTGGCGATATCACTGTCTCCTGATCAGCAAGCAGGCTGGACATGGACAGTCGCGGCCACTGCTGCACCAATCGGTGTTGTCCGCTGATGTGGGTCTTTCACATGATAACTCCCTTCCCGAGTCCAAACAAATTCCGCCACGAATGTGGGTCATACTGAGTCGCGATGTTCGAGCGCCAGCTATCCATGTGAAAGTTTCTCCGTCCTCAGCTGCGTTCCAGGTCGGAATGGCTTTCGCTCTTGCTGTGAGCTAGCACGTGAAATATGCCCATTCGGCGCGATCAGTGGCCCTTCATATTTAATTTGTCATTCAACCTCCACCGGCCTTGATGGCATCCTCTCTCTCCAAAACACTCTCCTTGAAGCGTAAGAGGAAGATCGTTTTGCCGGGCCACATCTCGTCGCCCTCCCCTGCCCAGTGTGCTGTCACGCCCTCCGTACTGAAACCAGCCGCATCACACATGCCTTCTATGATGCCCGCAACAAATGCTGCACAATTCAATTGGCTCATCTCTTTTGGTATACTGATGAATGTGTTGACCAGTGGCTCGTTATCCACAATCATGTACTCATTTTTCTTGGTATTGCTCTGCTCCAGCGCATCGGCACTTCTGTTGAACAAGGCACGCCAAAGAGAGCCATGAATGAACTGCAGGAGATCCAGCATACGCGTGGGCCTCGCAGCTGCGCGTGCTGGTTGTCTGTACAGCAAGAGATCGAGCATTTTGACACCTATAGGATAAGCAGCGCGATTGAGACGAGATTCGATCTCGCTGACTGAACCCGACTTCCCATGGTGGTAGGTGATCAAGCTATTGACCAGGTATGCAAATGATGCGAGCGAGATTTCTGTTGTCTTGGTGCGATTGAGGTTGCGGTCGTATATGGTTTTGCGAGAGGATGGATATCTCAGTGACGAGACGAACGGCTTCGCTTGTGGAATCGGGGTGTAGTTCGACTCCTTGTGAGCAGCTGAGGAGGGAGCGCTCATGGCCGGCATCGCTTGAGGGGGTCGCAAAGGTGGTGTATTAATTTGCTGCTCACCGCTGTGCCCTTTCACATGTCAACAGTTCGAGATGTGACCTGACGCTAGTGATGCGTCAGTTGTGTCTCGCCGGCCCGAAAGCACGGCCTTGGTTGACACTGCGATGAATGGCCCGACGAGTCTACCGCCGAGCTTGATGCAAAGCAAAGACTGCTGGAGACCACGCCCTCCCTTCTCAAGCCATGTCAATAGTCAATATTCCCAGCCCCATACTGCTGGTGTCTAGAGTCCAGATTGGTCTGGCTATGCCTATGGCTGGCTGGGCCTTGGCTCGAAGGGACGTACACAGCCAAGCATGATAACCATCAATGCACTCAAGCGATGTCTATTTCCGGTGCGCCGTACAGTACGGCATGCACGAGAATCCGGGTTTGTGCTACGTCTTCCACATATTCGACGATGTCTTTCATACAGTATGCATCGGACGCGCTCTCGTCGTGCTTCCAGCCAAGCGGCTTCTGAGCCTGGCCGTGTCCTCGTGACAGATGGCAGGGAATGCAGCTCTCGGAGGTCATTTCCGCCCGGGAAGGACTCATTGCACGCGACGAACGCATCGTCGCATCACATGAAAGGCTGACAAGCAGGCCCATCCCTGCGTGCCATTGATCCATGCCGCTTTGCAGAAGGCGGCGACGGCAACAATGCGCCTGTTTTGGCCTTGCTGCGTCATCATCATGACACCCTCGGTGGATCTCGATGATGGCGCATCCCCGTCGCATCGCTGTCCGCCATGCGAAGGTGCTGGTCTGCTGACGAATGACCCAGGCAGGCAGGAATAGCCCACCCAGCTCAGCAGCTCCTCATCAAAAGAACAGCAGCGGGCAATGACCGACAGCGCTGGCTGTGTGCACGCGCGCAAGTCACTGCGCTGCGCTGCGCTGCGCTGCGCTGCGGCTGCCGTCCCGCCGTGTCTGACGGTCCACTTGCTCGTTCCGCTTCTGCTGTTGCAACGGGAGTGGAGCTGCGATCTTTGATTCGCTGTCTGTGCACTCTCACATGAAAGCGGGCCTGAGGGGAGACGGGCGATTCCCGAACATCGAAGCTAAACGGCGGAAGTAACGCTCCTCTGCAGCCATCCTCGTGCACGTGCACCTCTCGTCTTTGTTCCTTTCCACTGACTAACTACATACAACAACATCCCGACACTCGCTGCTTCCCCGCTTTGCTTTCTGGTTCTGCTTTATACTCTACCGCACCGCTATCGCTACCGCTACCCGTCCTGCCAGATTGCGCCCGGAGTGCCCTGCTAGTCGACCACATTTGCATTGGCCGCGTGCACGCCAGAAGTACCGAGCTTCACATGCGACTTGACGACGCGCTTACACCGATCCAGAGGAACGATTTTGTCACCCTTCTTACCTCACGACGCCCACCTCTACGCACACTCTTTAAATTGAGCATACGCTGCCTTTCATGAGCGATTAGGAGCATCTCCAGCACCTAGTCTGGTGTGAGAAAACATGGGTCGAATAGCGGAGCGTGAAGAACGCGAACAAAGAGCAAGGTATATCGTCAACAGAGCTATACCAGAGAAACTCAGGGCCAGTCCGAGAGCCAAACATGGTGTCAGTAAAGCTGACCTAATCGTCGACCCTCAGCCTGTGATCAATACTCCGACCAGCGCTGTCGCATCCGTCTGCCGACCAGATCTGAAGATCCGTGTGGTGTGCGATGATTCTCTTTCTGTTGCATCCTATCTCTCTGATAGACCTTACGCGCCCAACAGGACAGTGGAATCGCGAAGGGCCAGCGAAACTCAGCCGAATGTCGCGGTGCACAGCATGGCTTCAACTACCATTCGCGGAGGTGGTTTCCTCGAGGGAGCAAACTCACAGGAAGAATTCCTATGCCACCGGACAACGTTGTACGCTTCACTGTACGAAGAGTTCTATGCTCTTCCGAATGCCGGAGGGATCTTCTCGCCAGATATTCTCGTGTTCCGCGACAAACACTGCATTGAGCTTCCAAAACGCCATCGCTTTTTCATCGACGTATTGTCTGCTGGTCTTACAAAGCACCCGGATAATCGAGGCCGCTTTGATGATCGCGAGGCATCCTGCAGTTGTGGTGTCAGCTACTGTGACAATCATCGCGACATAATACAGCAGAAGATGAGATCTGTCCTGCGTATGGCCCAGTTGAAAGGCACCCAGAAATTGGTTCTTGGGGCATGGGGAGTAAACAAAGCAATGAATCATCCAGTGCAAGAAATTGCCAAGTTGTGGAGGAAGGTGATTGCAGGCGCGCCTCGTCAACGGAGGCCGAACGCAGAACAATGGGAGGGCATTGACGAAATCATCTTTGCTTCAGTTGAGCCGAAACATACCGCGGCCTTCGAGAAGGCATTTGAAGGTGTCCTAACTTACGAGCCGCTCGTGCCGGAGAATGAAGAGCAGTACCTTGGGCAGCAGAGAGAGGACGAAGAACAGATCGACCTGTTGGCTCAAATCCAGAATTTGGAGCTCCGGATAGAGCAAGCACGCAATGTGTTCTCAAGATCCAAGATGAAGGATGAGCTTCGATCGCTAAACCACCAGCTGAACCTAGGTCGTGCTGCAAAGGTCTTTCAAGAAGACGAGGAGGCCGCGGAGAATGAGGATGTTGAAGACGATTACGTGGTGTCCGGCTATCCTGCATCTGATGATGACGGTAATGCCTACTATCCTTTCGATGGGACGACCTCCGACTCTGCCAATGATTCCGATGGCGCGAGGTCAGAAGTGTACGAATTCAGGTTTGGCCAGGGCAACTCCGATTCCACGTTATCCCAAGACGAGGATGAAGACCTTCTTGGAGGACATTCGTGGGTAGGGTGCCAGCCTTCACCACAATTCGACCCTGCTACAGGCTGGTTCCAAGGTTCCATAGACCAACTGAGTGCGCACGTTCGTGGAGGCACCCGCATCAAGAGCGACTCGATCAGTCCGAGGAGCCCGCTCGTAAGGCTAGATTCCAACACAGCGAACGAACAGAATCCGGTCAATGGCTTTCTGGCCAGATTCCAGAGGAACGATGTAGACGACCAGAGTTGAAAATTCTTTGATTCCCTTGTATCGATTTATGAGCATGCGAGTCTGATATACGGCGGAAATATATTGCATTGGAGAAAGAGTGCGGTTTCAGCATCTAGCGACAGAAGCATTTGGAGCGGGTGGGCATTGTAGCCAGGCGTTTGGTGGGCTGGAATAAATCTCTCTTCTTGGCATATGAGAGAAGGTTGAGTGGATATGTATCTACGAGAATGTCCGAATCAAAGAAGATTCCTGAAAAGTGACAGCCACCTGTCTGCGACAAGTCTTGATTCGATCTGAGAAACTGTATTCATCCTGGATCGCCAGCGAAGCGACGAGGCGCCAAACAAGCCTGCCGGGCCTGCCCATGCTCACACATGTTCAAGAACAGGTTCTGATCTCCCAGAAACAAGGTCTTTCAAGCAACGCATACCTCGTCAGCAATTCTGGACCATCAAAACGATATAGTACCACAAACTGATGATGAACAAACAATTCAGGCAGCCAAAATTTCCGGACATCGGTACGACACTCCCGCGTTGCACTGGCAGAATGGGTCTAAAATCCTTCGCGCTCCCTAAGAAACCACTTTTGGGGCCACGAAACCCCTGATTTGCATCGCGTGGCAATCTTCTGGCAAACGAATCTGTCTCTGCATTGCGGAAACGAGGCTGGAATCCTCCAGGGGTGTCGCGGTGCGCGTTCTCGTGGCAGTGATTGGATCCATTCCATCATTATGATGGCTGATCTGATCTCTCCTTTCAAGTATATATATATAGCTAGGGGCGCTTTGTAGAAGGTATTTGAAACAATCACTTTCGCTGGCTCGGATCTGGATACATAGGACGACGAGAAATTTTTTTAGTACACAGCAGTAATCAATCAATCATGAAGTACACTATCGGAGCACTAGTCATTGCCGTCTTCACGAACGCTCAATCTCATGGCCAAAAAGCGTATCTCGCGTCAGTATGCCAGCCATACAACTCGACTAACATGCCAGACCTCAATGCTCCCTGCAATGCAGTGAGTTCTTCCATCCGAACTTATTTTTTTGCCTGAAACAGAGCAGCTGACTCGTTGAACTAGATCGCGGCGATTCAAGGGGAGTGTATCTACGGACCAGAGTACCTTTCCGTTCCGAACTCGAACGGCGACCGTGATTTCGGAGATATTTCAACCCAGAGCAACGAAACTCAGCGTGTCTGCTTGTGCGAAAGCCAGTTCTGGGATTTGGCGACTGGATGCTTTTCCTGCTATAAGAAACATGGAGGCGAGATGGATGGAGCTGGCACGATAAGCGATGGCACGGTTTCGAGCATCAGCTCGAAATACTGTGCTGCAACCATGACACCGACGGCTGGTCTTGCGGACTATCTCTTCGCTCTTGCCAGCTCGCTCGAGCCGTCCTCAACTCAGACGGGGTCGGCGCAGACCTCTGTGTCATATCTCGATTCTATCGGTAATAAGACGGAGGTCAGCTACTACTACACCCCATCGGTCACTGGATCTGCTGCTTGGTTGGTAGGGCAACCCACGGGTTCTGGCAGCTCTGCGGTGTACAGCACCACGAATGTCCATGATGGCCAAATTCGCGCAACTGCTTCAGCGAACAATGCCGCAGCATCTGGTGGTAGTGGAACGAGGACTGGTTCGGGTGCTCAGTCTACAGATTCTGGCAGTGGCGCAGGAAAACACGAGGCTTTGACTGCTGCTGGCTTGCTTGGACTTGTCGGCTTGGTGGCCGTCTTGTAGAGCTCTCGCAAATGCTTGGAATGGGAATGAGTCGATGCCCGGTTGAGCGAAGGAGTTCTGGCGCAAGAATTCCGAAATTAAAGGATTGCTTGCGGCACTGAAGCGAGTGGTTGGCGAAAAAATTATTTCCAATGGTCGCGACTGTAATATGAGCGTCACTCACGCAGGTAGCACACGGCCTAGGAAAGATGAGTCTTTTGACGAACTCTGAAATCTTAATCCAGTTGTGAAGGTGACGAGGAACTGTGTCTTCCAAGACGATATTTTCACACGTTCGGGTTGTCCATCATAAGCTCTCGTACTGCTTTTGCAGCCATGCGTTTCCGTTGCTCTTCAGGCAAATCAGCGCTCTGCTCTTTCACAGCCAGAAGCTTGCCCAGCATCCTGTTCAGATCTTCCACTCCGCCTGCTTGCTCATGTGGTGTTATGAGCTGTTCAGCGTCGTCACCTTCGTTTTCAACGAGGGCAGCCTTCATGCCAAAGAGCTCAGCAGTCATCTCTGCTTCCTCATGGCCGAACCCATCCTCGCCATCCTCTATGCCCAGGCAAAGCTCATCCACTTCCAATTCATCCTCGCCATGATCAGCCCATTCGTTGGCCTCCAGCGCCTCTTTCAACCTCTCAAAGCCCAATTTCTCTCCGAATTCGTTCTTGCCCTCGGCGCTGTAGTCGATGTACTCGAAGCCGAATTCGGTGCAGGTGTCATCTTGAGCATCTTGGTTCTCCATGTTCTCCCTCTCTTCCTTCGCATGCCGCTTCGCAACCGCCAGCAATACTACACCCGAGCCGTAGTTATGTCCCTCAACGACTTCTTGTATACTCTTCATAGCCTCCTCAACCTCCTTGCCAATTTTTCCATCTTTTTGACGTGGAAAGCAGTAGATCCATGCGCCAACCGCATCTACGACCTCTTTCGCCTCTGGCTTCAGAAAGTCCAGCTTCCAAGCGGCAAAGTCCGGGACCTCGTCAATCCAAATAGGCACTTTGGCCTTGTAATATGCGGTCTCAGCATTCCATTCGTGAGTCAAGCCAGCCGTGCAGCCATCGATATCTGGTTGAGGCGCTGTACCTGTCAAGTCTGCACCATGTTAGACTATTACAGTCATTCACAATCATTCCGACTTTCGCACCTTTCACCACGTCGAGTGCACCCGCTTCCCGTTTGCCGAGAAATAGAATGCGTTTGGAGTGCTTGATGTCCATCTTGAAGATGGCTGCCAGTGTATTTGCTACATGTTGGGTGGAGTGTGAAGAAGACAGAAGGAAAGTTGAAGTGCGGGTCGATCCTGAGACCCTTTCACGTGGGGTCTGCGAGTTTCGTTGATACATATAGCACTGTGACAAACTGCTCCATTTTCGCCCTGCTTCGAATAAGTCCCACCGAGTTCTTCGCAGTTGACTGCTGCTTATGGCGCCTGCTCCCTTTCCTTACCTACTCAATTTCGTGGTCCCCAGCGCCGCGCTTGCTCATTGAGCCTTTCACGTTTTCACAAGATGTCCGCTCTCCTCGATCAACTCTTTGCGATTGCACTTGCCGCAGTGTGATAGCTGCTATGATCAGATCCTCCCTCCTGAGTCGAATTCCAACACACTACCGTCCACCGCGTCCCTGACCACGAGCACGGTTCACCGTAGCTCTGCCTCGAGCAAGACCGACACCACGTCCTCGAGTACCGCGCGATTTGAACATAGGCGCATTCCTATATGACCGTCAGTTCTTCTCCTGCCCTATGTCGTGTCATTGCGAACGCCATACCTAAGCATATCCGGTACGATGAATAGGCGCACGTGCGATCCGCGAATGTATACACGGTCCAAGTGAGTGACACGGCCGTCGCGTTGGGTCACGTTGATGTTCTCGAGTTGGCAGTTCATGTTGTCCTCAGCTATTTGCTTCCATCAGCATATATTCTGCCTCTTGCGACACACTGTCGTACCTTCAATAAGCCTTCCTCGATATGTCTGTCCGGAGTCGATCTCAACCGTGACTTGGTGGCCCTGTAGTATGAAGCGTCAGCTGTGTCTCTTCTGTAAGCGCATGTACGCCTTATAGATATACAGAAGCACTTACAGTGGCCTCGTTAAGAAGCTTGATCGGGATGCCGATGGTCGAAGTCATGTTGGTAGATGTCGCTGGCCTCAACGCGCAGCAGGAAAGGCCAGATTCAAATCACTCGAGGTTTGTATAGTGTCGGCGATCCTGAATGCGCGATTCCAGAAAGCCAGAGTCGTTGTATAAGTGAGTGTGATGTGGTGTTCTCGATGTTCGAGCTGCAAAAAGCGCAAGAGCAACCAAGGGTTCTTGCCTGAGGCACTCGGCGCCAAACTCAAAAGACTTCACACGCGCCAACCGTGCTTTCTCCTGTCTTAAACATCGCTGTCTGCGATGAACGTCTCAGCAACGGTCAATGTCTTGAGACTGTTGGTCAATCCATCTCTGTGTCTGCCGCACCACTCAATTGCAACTTTCGATCAGCTTCCCGTACCTCTCTCAGCAGCCTTCGCCAGCAAGAATGGCGAGAAGAAACCAGACATCAGAGCGGTAGTGCTGGACAAGGACAACTGTTTTGCAGTGCCGAAGCAGAATGAAGTCTATCCTCCCTACCAGGCAAAATTCGACGAGCTTCGCAAAGCTTATCCTGGCTCACGCCTTTTAATCGTTTCCAATTCGTCTGGAACGTCTTCAGACAAAGGCTTCGAAGAAGCTGATCTGCTGGAGAAGAACACTGGCGTCAAAGTACTCAGACATGGCACGAAGAAACCAGGATGTCATGACGAGGTCATGCAGTACTTTCGAAGCAAGCCTGAAACTGGCGTCAACAGTGAATCGCAGGTCGCCATCGTAGGAGACAGACTATTCACGGACGTGCTTATGGCGAATATGATGGGGTCCTATGGACTATGGATCAGAGATGGCGCGGTGAAGGATAACGGTCTTGTACGGGAAGCTCGATTGTTCACGGAGACATTGTGTACTAACGTTGTACCACAGCTCACGAAGATCGAAAGAAATATTCATGGTTTCCTGCTTCGACGAGGCTATGTGCCACCCGTGCCCAGAAGTGACTTTGAGTGAATAAGGCCCGGATCTGGAAACTTCATGCATAGATCGACGCTGGATCTTCGATCATGAACTACCTATAAATAAAATCCAAGCATTGGCACGAAGTTCTGTCCATATCGCTACTATGTGTTTCTTCCTCTATTCTGAATGCAATACCTGTCGATGGCCGGACTTAGGCAGACTCCGTGGGGTGGTCCTTTGCGAGCCCTTCAAACTTAGTGTCGCAACGAAGGAGTCAAGAGAGGCCTTTGGGCGCAGCCAGATAGCAGCGGAGGACCTTACGAGCTGGCAGTGCCTCGGGCTGTACACGTTTGTCAGAGCAGACGGCGGTAGCTACGAGATATATATGGCCCGCGACTGTGCTCGATGGTCCGCGTATCCTGGTCCATTCTTGTGCAAGTATTGCAAAGAGAAGCAGCGACAGCTCGATACCCTTCTGAACGTCAATTTCCAAGAGCTCCAAGAATTTCCATCGGCTGATGCTTCGGGAGCATTATTCGAGTCACTTGCCGAAGATCCTGAGATCGGCCACTCTTCCCCACCAACGATTCCGGATAGCAGCATTAATGCCACCGAGGGTATCGGTTTTGACTGGGACTCATGGCTTGCCTCTGATCAAGCCCAGACTCAGTCAAAGCCAACTGAGCACTCTCCTGCCGCTTGATCGTCTCTGTTAACTCAAAACATGGTATATCCGCCCCAGAGCAGGAAAGCGAGATCGATGAGGACACTAGCCACAGCGAATAGCAGATCCAACTCGATAACGCTGTACACCCAAAAAGTTCCGAGAGGTGGTGCTTGCTTCATGACTGCCAAGTAGCCGGATTTGTTTCCAGCGTGAATGAGATAGCAGCCAGATGCCACAGCAGAAGCCAGAAAAAGGATTTGCCTCAACAGCCCAAGCTTTCGTGCCGTCTCTGATCGCGTCATGTAGATAACCAGGAACAGGATCGGCAGTATGGTGCCAGACCGCTTGAAAATTGCCGACCACACAACGTCCTGGGCGTATTGATTGTAGACCAGAACGTCAAGTGTGAAGTGAAACATGACCAGACAAGCAGACCAGAATATGGCATCCCCAACGGGTCCGATGGGCTCTCCATCCCCTAGACCGGCTTCCAGGATGTTGCCACTTTCGCCTCGAGGAAGACCGTCTTCGTACTTTTTGTCGAACGGTCGACCTTTCGAAAGGAGGTCCTTCTTCTCTTCGTAAATGTCTAGCAAGGTCTTGCCTTGTGGTTTCGCGCCATACTCCGGCATAGTCATCTTGATCTTTGGTTGTTTGGAGGGTGGCTCGATGGGCTTGCCACTTTCCTTAGCCGCAGCCCGACGCTCCTTCCGATTCTTGGGCTTGTCTTCGTCTGCCATGTTGAAAAAGAAGTCAAAGTAAGGGCCAAGGCAGTCGTCGTGAATTGCGCTTGGGGATTTTGGCCCTCCCCCCCTCCCCGGAACATTTTATGCTTCTTGCTTTCGGTCCCTGCCGCGCTAGAACCAATCAGAGAATCCTACCCATCCTTCTCCTTTGCCCCCAGCAACACATCTGGTCAACGGTACGGAAACGAAGCGCTGACAACAGACGTCGCACGAAAAGCGTATTATTCTTCAACCAGTCGTACGCAGTAACAATTCCGGCGCGCTGAACAACATCACCTCACCCATTTGTCGCAACGAACCCCCTTCGCCCCTTGCGATCCTCTTCAGACTGCCGCAGCAGCGCCAGCGCCAGGCCGGCGCTGTAGACGACCACAATGGGTTTCGGCGACTTCGATTCGATATGCGAGAAGACACCTCTACCGCTTTGCCCGCTGGTCGGGCCCATCTCGCCAATCACTGGCAGCCATACTATACACACGAACTGCTATGCGAGGCCAATAGAGTTGGCAAACACCATCATATTCCAGGGCGCGACGGGCTTCGCACACATCTTGGCTTTGATCATGCTAGTGATCATGATTATACACGTCAGGAGTAAATTCACAGCAGTGGGTACGTGGGAGTGTGACCAGGAGGGAAAAGAGGCGATGCATGGCTGACAATCTAAATAGGGCGCAAAGAGATCACCTCGTTCTTCTACGCTTATACCCTCCTCACTATGGCCTCGCTGGTGATAGACTGTGGTGTGGTACCTCCCGCATCTGGTGTATATCCTTACTTCGTCGCGGTACAATGCGGACTAGTCTCGGCGACATGCATATGCCTGATGATCAATGGATTCGTGGGTTTCCAGCTCTACGAAGATGGGACAACGCTTTCAGTATGGCTGCTACGGACTTGCAGTGTGGCCATGTTCCTCATTTCCTTCGCCGTGTCTCTCTTGACATTCAAGGGCTGGGCTGGGCTTGGGCCAGAGAACACTGTCGGTCTGTTTGTGGTGGTCTGCCTATTCAGCGCAATCTTCATCGCTGTCTACGTGGTCATGCAGATCGTGTTGGTCGTTGGAACGTTGCAAGAGCGATGGCCGCTGTGGCATATCACATTCGGCGTGGTGGGCTTTGTCATTGGACAAGTACTGCTCTACGCATTCAGCGAGACCATCTGCGACAATGTGGAGCACTACGTGGATGGACTCTTCTTCGCCACGCTCTTAAATCTGCTCGCAGTCATGATGGTCTACAAGTACTGGGACTCAATTACGAAGGAGGATCTGGAGTTCTCGGTAGGCCAGAAACAGAACAACTGGGAGGTCAAGGACCACCACATGTACGAGGACATTGACAAGCGCAATACCTTCTATCAGGAGAGCGATACTGGCAGTGGCATGTACCCCCAGTCAGGACACCGAGGCTCTGTATATGGGTACTGAAAAAGGCAGCATCGTGATTCTCGGCGTTGGTCAGGTTGAGATGGAAATATTGTTATTGCATAGCGGGGACACGGTCAGAAAGAGACGCCACAGCGGTCTCAAAGTAGTCATGACTTACTAGATAATGTCAATTACGATTGCAAGAAACATATATGTGAAGCTTTCAAAGGATGCTTTGCGATGTCTCTAAAAACCTTTTTGCTTGGTCAGATCATTCATGACCATATACCTCGAGATTCCGATCCAGCCCCATCTAAACCAACGCATCTGACTCTTATGCGCCGTAGTCATGGCTTCCTGCGCCTTCTTCACATCTCCCGGCAGACTGACCATTAACAGAGGTGTTGGATAAGCGCCTCTCTCCTTCGTCTTGAAAATACATGCCAGAACCGTAACAGCAGCATCCATTACACTACTATACTTCCTCACCATATTCGTCGAAGTCAAAGTATACAGCTTGACCGGACACTCCCACCCTGACCTCCCTTGCATCAACGACCGCAAAAACGCCACACATCCATGATACAACGAGATATGATTCGGATGTCCCGAGACACCTCGGTCATCAAACGTAATCAAAGCATCGATCCTCGTTTCCAGATTCGTAGCAACCGGCGTCGTCGAAGCATTCGGCGCAAAGAATTTCGTCAGGGTTTGGGCAATGAGTTTCGCATCCCAGGTCGCAGTCATGGAGTCTTGGAAATTCTTGTCTTCGATTACGACGACGTGGTCGGAAGATTTGATGCCTAGGTGTAAGGCGCTCTTGACTAGTTCTTCTTTCCTGATGTGCCCGAGTCCGTCTGCGTCGCCGCTGCTGAAGCATATGAGGACGAATTGGTTTCCGAGGTCGGGTTTTGTGAGAGCGCGGAGAGTTGGCGCGAAGAACATGGCTTCGTCATCGGGATGGGCGATGATGAGGCATATTCTCTTTCCGACCAGTGTTGGGAAGGATCTTGTCATGTATGCTGTGAAGATCCACAGGGATAGGATCAGAACGGGTATTTGCCATGCCAGGAGCCAGTTCATCTTTGGGAGTTTTCTGTGGCGCTTCGGTGCTGATGCCTTTGATCGAGGTAGCGTTGATGCATGTTTTTGGGTCATGTTCTTGTGGACAGTGGTGGCTATTTTAATTGTTTACCTTCAAAGCGGACCCCACTGCGCTCCAGCGAAGATTTGCCGGGCTAATGGAGTGCTCTTGCCTTTGAACCGGACTTTTAAAAGTCAACCAGAACATTTCACGATTGAGGACGGTGTGGGAATAAGTAGAACTATATCCTGCACTTATTTCCGTGTGAAAAGTAATACCGATATCACAACAACTCCATAGCGTTCACGACTTGAAGAACACATGAGCCTCAGGCCCGGTCACGAAGTAGGACAAATGGGAGGAAGAGGCACATGAATGCATGCAATTGATGCCCGCTAACCAAGCATGTCTACTCAGAATCCGTCTTCGAGTTCTCACCAAAGTTCTCTGGATATTTCCACTTGTGGTCGGCTTGCGTGTTGCGCGATGAATGAGGAGCATCAGTATGATCGATCATCTCGAAACCAGATTTCTCTGCCTCTGTTGGCTCTGTTGGCGGGTCACTGAGATCCACATCATCGAATTCTCCTGCGTCATCGTCCTCTTTCACTGCCGCTTTGGAGTTGGTCTTCTTGAGAGTGCTAGACTGTTCACCAGTGACCCAATCCTTTCCAGCCTCTCCTTGTTTCTTTGGGGCTGCAGATTCGGCAGTCTTAGGTGCTGCTTTTCCTCCAAACTTCTTGTTCTGATTTGCTTTCTCGGACAATTTTTTCGACATGTGGAAAGTCGACATTCACCAGTGCTCATAGGACAGATGCTGTCTCATGGCAGTTGGTAATGACCTGCCATTTTATATTGTGCATCGCGCAGGTTTCTCTAGCAAGCATCCACCTTTCGGATAGCAATCCAAGGGTGAGACCTTCAAAGACGTGAAGACAGTGTCTTTGAATGGAAGTGAAGAGAATGTGGAGGAGATAGATTCCATCTTTATGCTCCTGATTGTCCATATTGCCATAGAATATTCTCCCACGCGCTGTGTTTCGGCAGAGGTCCAAGGTCTTATTCTTTCGTCAATGATCCGCATCATCGAGTGCATTCGTCAATATCGTATCTATAATAGTATAATCTTGGGTCGAGTCTTCTGATAGACTGAGAGCGCTTCGGCGAATCTCGAAATATAATCCTCCATGCTGGGAGATCAGTCACATGTTAATGAAATTCGCCGGCCGCCGGCTCTGTCGAAACTTCGTAGCAGTCTAGCCTTGGAAATTCTGCTGCGCAGTAGGTTCTAGTATCGTGAATTCGTGATCAGGATTGGGCAGACAGCTTCGATGCGCGATCGGCTGCAATTTCACACATTGCCTGCCAAGCAAGTCAGCTATTTCCACCGAAACGTGGACCTTGGTATGTCCATGGATGGTTTGAGCTTACTCTAATTGCTGCCAAACGCTCCGACTTCATGTCACCAACAGCAATGCGAGCTCGCATGTCATCCATGATGACGGGTCGAGATCGGGCGTTGACGAACACAACGTAACGCAGGCCTGGGAATGTTTTCTCGTACTGCTCGTTCAGGGCACGCAGCTGCTCGGCCTCTTCTGCGTTGCCTTGCAGCTGTGCTTGCTCAGCCTGAGACTGCGCGCTCTCAACCTTCTTCGCTCCGAGACGTGGATGACTTCCCAGTATGCTTTCTAACCATGTCGTGTCCGAAGATGACGGGGACTCTGACAATTCCGTGAGCTGTACACCGACTGCAGAGATAAGATCGGCGTATGAGTGGAAGTGCTTCTCGTGCAACAGAGGCACAGAAAGCGTGTGCAGCTGTGCACTGGGCTCGAAGAGAAGGTCTAGGATGTTTGCGCGTTCTTCTGTAGCAAGATTAGGCACAGACTCAACTGGAGGAAGCTTTTGGACGGCCATTCCAGCGAATCCAGCGGTGGGCTGACGCCTGTTCTCCGACGGCACGCGGAACTCCAAGTAGATGTCTCGGAGCGGTGAGTGGTGGCTATTCTAGGTCGACGAGAAGTGTATTCGCTGAGAATCGCTATGCGTGTCTGTTATAAGCTGGAATAGATCATTCAAAACGGGTTGACAGCAAAGGAGGAATGGGTGGTCAGATGGAAATTCTCTCCGCAGCATGATGTCAAGCAATGCCGCGCGGATCGTGTTCAGATTGCTTGCAGCGAGATGAGGCTCGTCTGTTCGTCCTGTCAGTTTTCTGGCATCTCCAACAAGGTCTGGACGATGTCCATTGGCACCACGGCAAGGAGCCATTGTGGCTTCAATATGTCGTGCAATGCGGAGTCCAACAACCTCTTGAGTCCTTCCTGCTTGTTACACGTTCTACTTAAGCCTTCGACGGAACCAGCATGCTGGAGACATTTTATAGCGGCCTGGCGCGTCACGAGGACTCCCCAGCATCCACTGAGCACTCTTCGATCAGTATCATATGTCATGGCTAACTTATCATGGAGAGGACTATGTAGACAATGCTGTGCAATTTATTGCACGCGCCTCTGCACTGCCGCTGGCAAACCTCGGCAATCTTGACACTTGTGAGCGGAGACCGTGTTCAGACCTCCACTGTAGATCATGCCACGGCATGCCAATCCTGCTGTATACGGTATGCACACTACCACTGTATCCGGGCCTTTACACATCGGCAGTGCGCATGGAGGTGCAGCAGCATGCAGAGTGCACGCGTCGTACGACCCTGACCGCAGAAGGTGTCTTTGTCGACATGCTACCTCCGAAATTCCGAACTTGTGATGTTGGTGGTCTGGGCAGTTGGTTGACATAGCGCCACAGCGACCCCTGTTGTCAAATCGGAAGCTGGGCGCCGGCGCACAAGAAGCGTGTGATGGTCTGGTCCTCTCATGGGCACAGCCGGACGTGCGCGTTTCACACAAGCAGGCATGTGTCATATGGCAAGGCATGGCATGGCATGGCAGGCAAGGTATCTACCGCTCGATCGGCTTCACCATATATCACCACGGCTCGTTCATTAAGAAAGGCCAGGGTTTGCAGGAACATAGCGTTCAACCTAAACCTTAAGTGAAGTTTGGTTCGACGTGAGGCGGACAGAGAGCGTCGAGCGAGCGCTGGGATGGCTTGCGTCTCCTCCTGCGCGGCCGTCTGTTGTGATCACCCTCCTTGCGCAGCTCCATCAGTCGTCGTGAAATCACTTTGCCAGCCGACCGACCTGTCTCACAGGTGTAATGTCTCACACCCCGATGGAAGCATCCCGCGACAACCATACTGATATAAGCGCATTGGACGGAAGCGGCTCGCAGACCGCCGGATGGTAGACGAAGACTCTATTTCGCGACAGCAATGTCATTGAATGGACTGGACAGTCCGGACGTCCACGATGCCTATCAGACTGCAGTCGCAGATGCAGGTGGATGGTACGTTGCCGAGTTGACAGCCAGCTTTGTTTGTGCCGGTCCGGAGCTGACAGCTGCCGGCGCAGGTTTTTGCTCAAATACACCTCCAGAGACTCGGTGGAATTGCTAGGACGCGGCAAGCATGGCGTGTCCGAAGCGCGCAATGCCATCACGGCATATACAGAGGCTTCTCCGCTGTACGGGCTGATTATGTATCGCCGGAGAAAGACGTTGATCAAATACATACCTCAAGGCACATCGCGACTGCTGCAAGGTAGAGGAGACCGAGTAATGGCGCCACGTTGGACAGCTGCTGACGAGCACTTAGCCCGAACTGCCGTACACTTTCAGGACGTGCTCGAGAAATATTCGCCATACGAGACGCTGCTCGAGATCAGCTCTGCGGATGCGTTGAACGATACATCGCTCGCAGCTTCCTTCCAGCTCCACACCGCATCCCCCTCTCCCTCGTCTAGCCGGCTCGACGAGATTCAGGAAGATGAAGATGATGGGACAACCGAGGGCAGTGCAATTGCCTCCTCTGTGCCAGCGGCGAGTGCGCAACGGTATGGCTCGAGGACAAGGATGTCAAAGCGGGCGGGGGCAGGCGCAGAGCGCTCGATGGCTTCGTTGCCGCATGGCAAATCGCCGTTGTCCATGTCACCGCGATCAACACCGCCAGAGTCGCCGGCCAGGTCTCCCGCCGTCCCCGCGCCTAGTAACCCGCTGGGCTCAGAAAAGCTTCCTACGCCTCTGATCAATCCAGAACTGCCACTTTCCCGGGAGGCTTTGAAGGAGAACATCGCACCTGAATGCGCAACTCGAATTGTTGACCGCACGCGACCGCCTGCAAGTGCAGGCGGCCCCCAGACGAGAACTGCGGCGACGGAGCTGGGAGACAAGAGGCTTGCAGCGGAAGAGGCGCCAGCGCCAAGCGTGCCTCCGAAGACACCAAAAGACCTGCCCGAAGCAGAGGCTCCAAGCTTGCCACCAAAGACCCCCAAGGACTTACCAGATCTGCCACGTGAATCACCAGAAGTACAGGCGCGAAAAGCTCCAGCGTGCTCCGTCGATCAAGCCTCAATGGCCGAATACAAGAGCGCCTTGCGCTCCCAATCGATGGACGAAGAGCCTTACGACTTCAGCAAATACGATGCACTGTTCAAGCCCAAGGTCAAACTTGCACCCAGGCCCGTACACTCGCCGGAGAAGGTGAAGCGACCCGCTGTTGCCCGCGTTTCCGCCATGCCTGCCAACGTCAGGCCATCGGCAAAGAAGCAGGAGCCAACTCGACCCAGATCGCAAGGACAGTGCGTTGCACGAGCGGCCGCTGTTGCTTCGCCCGAGTTGGACATGCCTGCTCTACCGCCCATTCCCGCAACGCCAGAATACAGACCGCGTCCGATCTCTAGAGCCAGCATCAAGTCTGCGCCGTCTCACAAGTCATCGGGAATGACCGCCGACAAGGTGCGGCTCATGAAGGCCGTTGAACTGCGGAGAAAGCAATTGCGAAAGTCTCAAGAGCAGACCTCCGCGATGCCGCTGCTCGATATTGACGCACCCGACGTGCCACAGCTTCCCCAACGCAGCCCGTTGAGGGAGAGGAAGACCTCGTCGCCACCCGAAATGGAAGCCAGTGCTCATGCCGATCACGTCATGCCACTCGCGCGAGTCCCAGAGGTGGAACCCGAGCAAGAGCAACCGACTACAGATGACGAGAGTCACCACCAATCCAGCAAGGCCGACTCCGGAATATCGCTGCGATACGCGACGCCCGATTCCCAACACACAGATACCATCGAGGGGGAGAGCCCCGAAACAACTTCGGAAGAGAAGCATACAGCGGCTATGCATGTGCCCACGGTAGCAGGACATCCAGCTGCATTGCCACTCACCACCCATGTCCCGCCAAGTCTCGAACCATCACCTCGAAGTATCGAACTAGGGCAAACAGCAGATGCTATGTCTACCGCAAGCATTACGCCCACCGAGAAGCCTGGACGTTCTGAGCATGGAAGCGACGAGACTGCGATGTTGCCAACAATTCAGATGGAGCATGAATCGCGGCCACTGACTTCTGATGGTGAAGCTCCTATTCAAAGATCTGCTTCAGAAGTAACTATCGGGCAATCCGGATCCGACAAAAGCGAGCACTCTTTCGCAGAGCCGCCTTCGTCTCCGAAGAGGCAGAACAGTGACCTGGCTAAGCGACGCCGAGGTCTTGTTGAGCCTCTGCACATTGACACGTCCTCCGGCAATCCTGATGACTTTGGATCTGACGACGACGAGTTCTTGGAAGAGCTACATAGTGCTACCGTACATGAGGCCAAACCTATTAGCATGGCAAGATCGCCGATGGCGGCAGCTTTCCCCGGCGGACGACGACCCAGCGCGGACACGTTGGCGTCTGTGAGATCTGTACAGATTGCTCGCGCTTCCACTCTTACTGTCGACAGGACATCCGGGACATCAGACCGCCTCTCGCCGGACAGCTCGAAACCACCGTTCGTGGGATCATCGCCAACACCACCGCCTGATGCGATGGCTGGCTTCACTCGGAATGTTTCTTCGGGCATCTCCAAGCGCATTCAAGAACTCAACGAATTTTCCACCAGGGACTCGAATTCTCCATCGTTCAACTGGCAGTCACAGCCTATCACGCCAGACACCTCGCCAAATGGCTTGTCGCCGTTTGAGCCGCGAGATCGCAAGTCCAGTCGCAGAACGCCTCCAGCGTCAAGACCTAGTTCTTATCGCAGACAGAGTCGGAATAACACTAATCAGCCACCGGTGGCTACGCCAGGTGCAGAACAAGCGCCCGTGTGGAGTGTTCAGCACGACCCGGTCACCAATCGCAATTCCGTCACGGTGACTACCCGGATCACGAGACCTACGACTGCGGACACGGCAGAAGAAGATCAAGTTCCTCTGCAAAAGTCAGAAGTCTTGATCAACCATCCACGTGAGGGAGGCCCGATTCCAGCGCCTATCCGCACTGACGCCCCATCGAACGGACCTACCCCAGCACTTTCTCCAGTAGTTTCCACGAATTCATCTGGTGTGCATTCATCGAACTCTTCCAGGTTTGGGAAGTATCACCAGCCGGGTTCACCGGGCCTGGACGATTTCCCGCCTCCGCCGAACAACCAAGTGCTGTCTACGAAGTCGCTCACGCCAACCGACGAGAATATTGCTCCTAAGGAGGGCAGCAGGACCAGTCGGTTCTTCAAGCGAATGAGCACCTTGACCGGACCCAAAAAGAAAACCAGCCCGCCTCCGATGGCGAGCAGCACAAGCTTGGTAAGCAATGAAGCCACTTCTCCTCTCAAGGCGTCGCCGGTGCAGAGAGAGAGCTTGGCTACGGAGAAGTCGGATACACCACCTGCTGTTGTGGTTGGGGACCTTAATGTTCAATTGCCCGATTCACTCGTAAGTTGACACAGACTACCGTAGAGCCAGTCAGGTTAAACAGTACTGACTTGCTTTCAGCTTTGGAAGCGTCGCATTGTAACAATTGACGATGCAGGCTACTTACAGTTCGCAATCGCCTCCGCTATGGAAATTCACAAAGGAATTGCGCAGAAGAAGTTCTCGCTCTCTTCTTTCACGATGCCTTACGCACCAGACCTCGATCGTCAGGAGCTGGACCACTCTATCGTCCTGGAGTTCCAAGATGGTGCGGCCGTCCAGGTTGCCTGCGAAGATGCCATGACCCAGCGCCAGGTGCTGTCTGTTCTCAAGACCTACTGGAAGGCGTACCAAGCACAGACGACCCAGACGTGAAAGCATCACACCAGCACTTCAATATTCGAAAATACACAGCCAATTCACAGTACTTGTTTCATTGGATCGACGAATCTCCTTTACCAGCGATATACCCCTCGGATCGGCCACAGCCTCACTGGCGATTTCAGTTGTTTTTCACGTCTTACCTCGGTCCTGGCGAGTCATCAGAATGTTGCCAGGGGTATTGTCTAATGCGTGGAGCGATTGATCATGGATTGAAAGTGCGAAGAGAAGAGCAGAAGCGCCCGCAGTGGTAGGCTCATCTGCTTGTTGAAGTCGTTCCTTATACATGTATCTTGGTTAGAAAGACAGTGTTGGCTGAACAGGAGGCACCAGGAAAGATCAGATCAGCTTCGGAATCATAATACTCTGCGGCTATCAACGCAGCCACGGAGTCCTTGTCTCGTTTTTGCTCCATGCCCACACTGCGCTCATCAATCCACAACTTGCTATGCTGTCAACACGAGCCCAGGTATTCGATCTTTGAGTTCTTCTCATTCAAGCTCGCTAATGACTCGCAGCCGTTGCAACCCGCACGTGCTGCACCTTATCATCATTTTCGGCGCTGAGAGCAAACTTGCAGTCACCAACAGATTGTGATCAATGTCACTAGATCAAATGTCTCCATCAGACTAATGGGTGGCAATTCCAGCGACCACTGCTGCCATCACGATGAAATCTGACACGATCAGTATTTTACCAAGAGCACTTGATAGATGCTGACTTGTTCAGTGACCTTCGTGCATTGCGCGATCTAAGCTCTAGGTGTTCACTTTCAGCTCACTTCATGCGTGGATTGTGACATGCAAGAAGCCAGCTATTGTCGTGCGAGCCAAAGTGAGCTTCGCTTTCTTTAACTCTGAAACGCTTTTCAAATGTGGACCTGCAACAAGACTCCAACCAACCCCTGATCCAAGGATACACAATTATTGCTCAACACCTAGCCCTCGCCACCAACCAACCCTTCGAAGTCGGCAGTCGCCATGTCATCATTCAGTTTCGGCGCCAGTCGCAAGCGCGGCCGCGACGATGACCTCGCCATGACCACACCAGGCGCCGGCTTGTTCGTCACGGGCCTGACTCCAACACCGGCACCTGAGACTCCACGTCGTGACCTCAGTCGAGCGCGCAGTCAAATATCTGGTAGCTTCATGGACGATATAAGCCTCGTCGACTTTAATGAGCGTGAGGCGCAAGACGCCGCGAATGGTGAAGACGAGCAAGAAGAAGAGGAAGAGGAACACATCTATTCCCAAGACACGGAAGCGTTCCCAGAGCATATCACCTTTGATAACGATTTGCCGGAAATATATCGACGTGCGAAGAGACTTGCAACGAATCTGCAAGCGCATCTGGAGCCATTTCAACAGACCTCAGAAGACGTCCATGTCATTCATGGCAGAGCTGTAGCAGCTCAGGCAGCTCCAGAAGTGAAGAAGCCGGAGGTCGGGATGGTCGGACACACGGGCACTGGGAAAAGCTCCACCACCAATGCCTTTGTAGACGATCTGGAGGCCTCCAAGGCGGTAAGTCCGCGTCAAGATCTCTTGCGAGCTCTGATTGACACTTCAATAGGCTTCCAATGGAGATAGCTGTACTGCCGTGGCCACTCACATGACTGACAGCATACCTGGTCAGCGACTACCTTATGCAGCTGAGATTTACTTTATCGATGGTCGCACCTGCCGCAATTTTCTTTCCGAGCAGGTAGGCCACTTCATCAGATTCAATTTCGAAAAAGACCCACAGTGGTCTGTCGAGGAACAGCATCTCTACAGCAGTCGCGCAGCTACCGCTCTGAAAGTGTGTCAGTCACTGTTCTGCGATCAGCATGGGTTCGACTCACCTGGCGCCATTGAGTCCTACTTCCGACAGCATCGATATGCAGCGTTGCCTACCTTGGAGTCATGGTGCGCTCAATTGCTAGGCCGTTTCGATGAGCGCGCAGGCCAACATCTACTTCGCTTCGAGGCAGAAACGGCCGAGCAGCTGAATAAAGCCATCAATCCACACATTTTCGAGACGAACAATCCCGAAGAACCCATGCTTTGGCCTCTCGTCGAGCACGTTTCCAAAGGCTTCCAAAATTCTCGGATCCTGAAGTACGTGGATGTGCTCGACCTTCCAGGCACAACAGACACGAACACAGTTCGCGCTGAAATAGCCCACAAGTTCATTACCAAGGCCACCGCACTGTGGACAGTGGGCACGATCGGGCGGATCAATTCAGACGCAGAGGTTGACCTCACATTGGCCACCTATGGCAGGAGATTTGGAAACAATGTCGCTGTCATCGCCACTAGATCTGATGCGGATCTCAACCCGCAAGTTGCTCGTGACTTGGAGAAAAATGGTCAGAGTGTCGGTGATTACTGGGCTTTGGGAGATCGCGTGCGCGAACTGAAGGAAGAACTCAGTGCCCATCGCAGATCCAGGAATGCTCCCAAGCGGCAGAGAATGCCAGTGGACTTTGACGTGAAAGCACACGCTCTTCAAGTGGAGATTGATGCAGTCATGGACGAGCAATTCGATGGCTTGGTCGAGGCTCGTAACGCTTACGTCTCAAGAAACCTGAAGCAAGCCAAGCAAAAGCACATCATCCCAGGAGCTACGCTCGCAGTGTTCCCGGTGTCTAACACTCACTACGGGGTTCACAAAGGGAACGACGCCTCGGACAAGCGACTAATGCGTGTTGAGACGACCAACATTCCTGCCCTTCGAAGTCACGCTCTGTCACTCGCAGCCCCTCTGCAATTCCATGCCATTGAAGTCCGCATCAACGAGGCGATCCTAGCACTTCGAGGTGCTATTATATGGGCCGAGTCGCCTCCGACGAAGCGCAATGAGGACCTCATGAACATTGTCGCTCAGCCTGGTCAGTTGCTGCACTCCATTCTCGAGGAGGGTCGAAACAGCTCCGAACACTACGCCACGGCCCAGCTCATCACACCGCTGGACAAGGGCCACAGTCAATTCGTTCTGGCATCACTCGCTTTCGCACATCACGTTCAATCAACATGGCATCACTCATCCGTCCGAGCATTCTTTGCCAGGAACGGCAAGCACAAAACTACCAAGGCGGGCTACGAAGTCTGGAATGAACGCTTCACAGACGACCAAGTGAAAGCCCTCCAACCCGGCCTTAACTCAATGCTACCACATCTCTTCTCCATGATCCAAGCAGCCATGACCAAACTAAAAGGCTCAATCCGAGACATTCCAGACCAACTCGCCAACAACGCCGAAGCCATACCCGTGGCCATCGAACCTTTGAGAGAAAATCTTGAGGGCTTCATCACTCAAATCCAACACAGAGTCGACGAACGCAAACAAGAACTGGAGACCAAACTCAAAAATTTGGCACTTCACGCCACTCAAGACGTACCTTCCGCCTACTTCACCCAAGCCATGCTTCCAATGTACGACGAAGCCAAAACCTACCACGGCGACGGCTGTACAGCTCGCATGCACACACTGCTTGGAGACTGGCTTCAAGGTCTCGGTCCTGCCCCTTGCACACCCTTTTCTGCCGTATCCGCCGATCTAAAGCGAGACTTTGAGGATGCCGCAGATTGGATCACGAGGGCATTGGAGCGAGATATCGAGAAGATTCTAGGAGACATGACGAAAATGTTTGAGGGGATTCTGACACGTCAGGCCGAGAGTCCTCAAGAGAAGCAGGCTCGTGTGGCTTTGGGACCGTTCCTTGCGCAAGTCAAGCCGGAGATGGATGCGATTGTGAAGGAGCTCATTGCGCTGAAGATCAGATACGGGGAGGACTTGTCTGAGGAGGAGAAGATTTTCCAAGTGTCGCATTCAGAAGGTCGTGCTCGCCGTCAGACTGAGTGGTTCGGACTCTTTCGAGGACGATGGTAGGCGAAGAATGACCGATCTAGAGCTCGAGGACATGTATTTTGCTTGCCATCTGCATCGATACCAACAGACATTCTCTTTCGGGTAGACGGCAAGTGATGGAGTGGCTCAGAGCCTCAGAGGGGATTCGAATAGTACCCCGGGAATGCCTGCCAAAAATCAATTTTGCCTCAAATTGACACCTGCACATCTCAGGAGAATTGAATTTGAATCTCGTTCTTGATTGGTCTCGTTGAACACAGAGAGAAAAAAAACAAATTAGCTTATACTGACTAAAACAGCGCTGTTGTAGTGTCCGTTCGTTCGTTCATCCAAAGTAAACGTGTCTTCCCAGCAAAAAGGGGGAATATGCATGCAATTCGCCTCAAGCGTATGCAAAGTATGGGTGAACACCACAACGCCGGGTTGTTAATGCATGGTTCTTTCATCTTCGACGTACAGGCGTGATTCATTCATCCTCTGCCATGGTCGACGTCCTGAGCGTGCCTGGAGCAATCACTCATCATATGCCAAAATGTGACGCCAGGTCGCTTCCAGCGCCGTTGTGGCGCCATCGCCATCAAGGCGAAATTTGGTCGCTTGTAAATGCTTCGTGTTGATTCGGCCTCGAATGAGGTCTTTGGAGGGAGAGTAGATTAGGCGGCTTGGTAGAGGAGTAACGGCTCGCCCACATTCTCGATTTCGGGTATCGTGCATCGAAGATCGAATGCTTTTGAAAGCACGATCTTGAAGATCTGAGAAGAATTAGCAAGTTCGCCAGAGTCTTCGACAGGGGTATGGTCTTACCTTTTGCACGTTGATGCTGTGACTTGTGCTTGAGAAAATTAGACTAGCTTTCATGGCTTTCGCGAAGCGCTTTGCCTGGAGCGAAATCTCCTCCTGTTCTTCTCGCGGGAAGTTGACGAAGTGGTCGTATTTTGTGCCAACCAAGAAAGGGATCGCGGTCTTGTTGAATCCTCGTCCTTGGCGATACCACTCCTTGATGCTGTTGAGAGTTGATTTTCGAGTAAGATCGAACATGAATAATATGGCGACGGCGTCGTTGCAGACCAGCGGGAGCATATTGACAAACTCTCGCTGGCCACCAAGGTCCCATATTGAGAAGGTGATTTCGGTGTTTCGGATGCTGATGGTCTTCTCCATGAAGTTGACGCCTGGCACATGTCAGCTTATGATGATATTCCCATCTCGCGTCGCGCTAGCCTTACCCAGCGTCTGGATGTAATCTTCATCCCAACTACCCTCGACGTATTTGACCATCAAGCTTGTCTTGCCAATCTGAGCATCGCCCACCATGCCCACTTTGATAACTACCGAAGCATTCTTTTGTGCTTGTTGTCGCTGGCCATTCTGATCGAACTGGCCCTGGCTCTGGGTGGACGGCGGTCTGCTTAAGCCGTTGCCATTTGACATGTGGTCGGGAGTGTTATCTGCTGACTGGGAATATGTTCGCGAGAGCAGGCCTGTGTCGCTGTAGGAAGTCGAGGGTCTCGCGTCGAAGGAGGGGTTCTGATGGTGCATGGAAGTGGCGGTTATGGTGTGCATGGAGGCGTCGTCGTCGATGGAGGAGTGCTTCTCGCCGCCGCCGTTGGCCTGGTCGACGTCCATGGCGGCTGCAGCGGTGTGGTCGAGTGTGGTGGAAGTATCGAGGAGCTCTCCGCAGATAGGGGAAAACAATGTGGTGCAGGATGGGCTAACAGCAGTGAGATGGTACTGCTGCAGGTACCGCAGTGAGCCTGAGCCTGAGCCTGAGCCTGAGCCTCTCTCCCAATTCCTCTCCCGGTCGCGTGTAACAATGCCGACTTGCCCGTGCCCGCGTGCGCCCTACCGACCACTGCGCATCGCCTCGTCTCGTCTCACTGCTCGTTCCCAGAGTGCTGATGAGCTGATGAGCCGGAGCAGAGGCGCGGAGGCAGCGCGAAGTCCGGAGGGAGAAGCCGCCTTGATGTGTTTGACCAATGGCCGCTGCAAGCTCGAGTCCCGTCAACAGACCGGCTTTAAAAGGCTCGACCCTTGAAAATCAGACTTCAGGGCAGGTTGCCCGCAGCACGCGTCATGCGGCAAAGCAAAACAAGCCCAACCAAACGGTCACAATAACGACACTGGGTCTGCCTCCATTGGTACTCCATCGCGAGATTGTTGGACATGTGGCATCACTCGCAATGCCAGCGCGCGCCAACTCGTTCCCAAGCCAACTTCTACCGACATCAACGCTGACCCGAGAGCTATGAAGTTGGGGGTCCAGAAGAAACGCATTGGAGAGCCAGGTGCCTACGGTTTTGAACACGATGAAGAAGGCGGAGGGGAGCAAGAGCTACGCAGCGTACAATGCCATGAGGAAGCAGTGGAAACCCATGCGAGTTGTAGTAACCAACGAGCTCTATAACGGCAACTGGGACGCACATTTTCGAGACGGGGGCGCCAAATGACATTGGTCGTCAGAGCCGGACAGTCTCTCACGCGCCCGGAACCTACCCAATCAGTCTTCGTATTTCCTGAGCGGTATCAGCTTCTGGACATTCTGTGTAGGAATGATGATGTGGTCAAGCTCGAGTATCAAGCCGCCGCTAGCCATCGCCTCGAAGCGCTGAATGCACTAGCAAGTCGATACCATGGACGTCAAGCTGCTTGTCTTTCAAAGTTTCGGCGATATTACCTATCATACCCTGTGAAAGAGCCTCCGAGCCCTGCGACTGCTGCTTTATCCAATAGAGAAGCAAATTATGCCTGTATTAAGTCATAATCCACCACTCGGGCGGCGGACCCTATCGTTCGGTTCTTGAAAGAGGGTGTATGATTCACTCAGCCTTGTAGATGTGCGTTCGGACCCTTGGCCTACCTAACGGCTCCGATAGCGTAGCCTCGTCGCTCTGGCACAGAACAAAGATGTTTTCCGACTAGCAACCAACCGAAGCTTCCGTGCATGCACCTGCCTGTTCCTGTTCCCGCGCGCACGCTGCCAGCCTACCAGCCACTGCGCATCGTCTTGTCTCGTTCGTCGGCTCGCTGCTTGTTCCCCAAGTGTTGATGAGGCGCCAAGGCAGAGCAGAGCGAGCAGAAGCCGCCTGCTAAGTAATGTCTTTGACCAATGACCGTAGATCCGGCATTGAAAGGCTCGGCCCTTGGACCTTCTCCCGCCGCTAGTCCCAAACCCGCTCTCACATGTCAAAATGCCCCAAATTAAATTTTGCTGCTGCTTCTTGCTCACGCACTGCATTACATTCGTCAACCGCACACGCTGAGCTGTTGCGTCTGAAATAAGGCGCCTTGGGCAATCACTCTGCTGCATCCCAAGTTCCAGAAACAATCGAAGATGGCCAAGCGCGCTGCAGAAGATGACGAGCCGAAGACACTGAAAGCTGGTGAGCGTCCTGTCGCGGATGCGCCAGCGGCCGATGGAGAGGACTTTGAGGATGAGTTTGAAGACGAATTCGAAAGCGAGGATGAGATCCTGGAGGCAGGAGTTGATGGCCGCCCAGACGAAGAGCGCGAAGCTGACGAGAAAGCCGCCGGAGCCATGGACGTCGACCAAGAAACATTTATTCCTGGACGCCACAAACTGGAAGCTGGGCAGACACTGGCACCTGATTTGTCTACGTACGAGATGCTGCACACTCTAGAGCCAACTTGGCCATGTCTATCCTTCGATATCGTCAAAGACAACCTTGGCGACAACCGAAAGTCCTATCCAGCGACTGTATATGCTGTTGCTGGAACACAAGCAGCCCACGATCGTGCCAAGGAAAACCAGATCATGGTCATGAAACTCTCCGGACTTTCCAAAAACGACAGGCCGCGAACATCGATTCAGATGATGAAGACGATGATGATGAAGAGTTCTCAGATCCTATCCTAGAGACCAAATCCATTCCTCTGAAATCAACCACGAACCGGATACGAGCACATCAATCACCACAAGCAAGCGCTGCGACTCCCCCACCCACCATCACAGCCGCAATGCAAGAGAACGGAGACGTCCTCATCCACGATGTAAGCCCATACCTCCGCTCCTTCGACGAACCAGGCTACCAACTCCCCACCAACTCCGACAAGCCCCTCTGCACCATCCGCGCCCACAAGAAACACGAAGGCTACGCATTAGACTGGTCCCCTCTCGTACCCGCCGGAAAACTCCTAACCGGCGACTCCAACGGCTCAATCTTCGCCACCACACGCAGCGAAGGCGGAGGTTTCACAACCGACACCAACGCCTATCTCGGCCACACAGGCTCCATCGAAGAACTACAATGGTCCCCATCCGAACGCAACGTCTTCGCCTCAGCTTCCTCCGACGGCACCGTAAAAATCTGGGACGCGCGCTCGAAATCTCGAAAGCATGCCATCTCCGTCAAAGTTTCGGAATCAGATGCCAACGTGCTTTCGTGGTCGCATCAAACTTCTCACCTCCTGGCATCGGGCCATGATGACGGGACGTGGTCGGTTTGGGATTTGAGGCAGTGGAAATCTCCGGATACGGCTGCCAAGAGCAAAGCTGTTGCGCATTTCTCGTTTCATTTGGGACAGATTACGAGTGTGGAATGGCATCCGACTGATGATTCGATTGTTTCTGTGTGTTCGGGGGATAATACGCTTACGTTGTGGGATTTGGCTGTTGAGTTGGACGATGAGGAGTCGAGGTATACGGCTGATGTGAAAGATGTGCCGCCGCAGCTGTTGTTTGTGCATTATATGGATCAGGTCAAGGAGTCGCATTGGCATCCACAGATTCCCGGTGCTGTCATGGCGACCGGTGGGAGTGGCTTCGGTGTGTTCAAGACTATTAGTGTGTAGATGAATCGACGTGCGAATGCATGAAGCGATGAAGAATGTTAGCGTCTTGTTGATGATTAGCTGCAAGACTATTTTGGCCTCAATGCCGGCCGGAACTGCTTCTGTCTGGCACCGCATTGCCCTCTCGAGCAGTCCCAATATCGTAATATATGTCCTTGATCCAATCCACATTCAACTCAGATCCAGATGTAGCGACGATTAGAATAGTGCTGCCATTCGTTGTCCATGATCCAGGCGTCCGCTAATGGGCACAGAAGTAAAGTTTAGTTGGGGTATCGATTGATCGAGCTCATAGCACGCCGCCAGGTATTTGTGACTAAAAGCGCGTCGTCAGCCCTCCATCTCAATCAGACTCATTGCAATATGTCATACCCTGTTGGTCTCTGGAGTGGGAATGCCGCCACCAGCGGCTCCACTCCAACCTTCCTGTGGCGAAGCATGCCGTCGCAACATGAACATAGGTTTTCGGCCTTCTTTATCGAGTTGCTTGAACAGCAGTAGCGGTTTCTCCTCGAGACCGAGACATCGTTCCTGATCGCCGTGCACGATGTAGAGCGCATATTGTCGCCAGTCGTCTGTAATATTGTACCGTTTAAGAGCCTATATGGTGTTAACATATATGTCCTCGAGTATTATACTTTGCGGCCAAATAACACTTTTGTGGGGCCGAGCGAAACTTACAACTGGTAACACAACGCGACAAGGGTCATCGATGCTGACCCGAAAGCTTTTGAAGATTTCGACCTGTGGATTGTCCCTGTGTCAAGTGTCAGTGATGGATCGAACGACGAACGAAGAAGCCACCACACATACCTGTCTCTTGCAGCATTAGGCGTTTCGTCTTCTCTGGGTGATGGTGTAGGTGCTTGCCGCCTAGAACGATCTTGTTCTCGCAGGCGCGCGCTTGGTTGGTCTTGTACCACCGTGCTCGCTTGGCTGTAATGGTGATTTGCATATTGTGTGTCGTGATCGTGAATGTGCTGTCTCTGGGTTTGCGTTGCGAATGAACGCGCTGCTGCAGAGCCTGGCACGTGGCCATGTGAGCCTCCAGTAGGTGGTCCTGTTGAGTACGCAGGGCTTGTGGGGCTTAATTGCTGTCCATGTACGCTATTCGGGCTCGTCTGTGCAGTCATGCTCGCAGTCAGATGTGTCGAGGCGGCCATTGCAGCTGCAGATGCCTCAAGATGTGCTCCGCCATCGTCGCGAACTTCCCGAGGTTGAGGAGTATGCGATTGTGGCGCATGTGTTGGAGATGGTTGCTTGCTGTTGTCAGATTTGAGGAAGAGCTTCTTGGTTGAGAATTTTCTGCTCAACGAGCTGCCCTTGTTGTCTCCCTGCTTGGCTGATGGGTCTATTTCTCGTGGTGATGGTATCGTGCCTCCCGCTGGGTCCGGTAGAGGCGTGTTCTGGTTCTTGACCAGTCGCATGATCGGGAGCGTCTCTTCTCTCAGTTTCCGGTTCTCCTCTATCGTCCTGTCCAAATCTGCTTTGAGTATCCGCAGTTCTTGCTCTGCCTGCACGATCCGCTGGTCCCGTAACCTCAGCGAATCAATTATGCGCGCAATGTCGTCCTGAGTAGCATGCATTTCACCCTTCTCACCCTCTGCCGAAAGGGGCACATAGTCTCCTTCGTCAATCTTCACGCCAGCGCGCATCTTTTGCTCGTATACCGCTTTGAGTATGGTGAGTCTGTGTCCCACGCTCGTGACTCCCAATTCCTTCAACTCGTCGTGGTTCAATGCGATCAGCGCCTCCCCGTTCACGCCTTCTTCGACAAATCTCTGGCCATACTGTTTCAGGGCGGGAGAAAGAGCGGCGATATAATCTGCCACCTCCTCCTCTGTCCACTGAGTAATTTTCCCCGTCGGACTCCTCCCATCTCGATCTGCCCAGCCCTGCGTCGTAGGTGTGTCCTCGCCGTCTACCACGGAATGGTCGTCCTCGGAGTCTGAAGGGTGATCGGAGTGGTCATGATAGTGATTCGGGATGTTAGGGGACGTGAAGACGCTCCGCTCAAACTCGTCGTCTGCCTCTGCATCGCTGTCATAGGTAGTGTCGCCTGCTTGGCGAGCATACTTGTCCATCGCGCCTCCCGACTCGGGGTAGATGGTCGCCCCGGGAGATTCGGGTAGCGGCTTGTCGACGTGGACGGCAGTGCTGAGCCGACTCAGCAACTGCTGATTCGCAAGGTGAGGGAATCGTGATCGTGATACGGGAGTAGGTGTGCGACTGCCCAAGTTGGCGTCTCTGGGAAAGTCCGAGCTCGCTCGCACTGGCGACGCAGGAGCACTCTGAAAGTAGGAGGCCCTCTCCTGGACCGCCGACAAGGACTCCTCGAGCGACGACGCGAAGCCTGCGCTCTCAATGGCAGTCTGCAGGGACAATGCCGTCGTCAGCGGAGACGCGAAGGAGGCTGTTGTCGTTGCTGTCGGGGTTGCTGCTGCTGCTGACTTTGTGTTGGCGGCAAGGATGTCTCGATTTGCCGGTATGCTGAGATCAACATTAGCACCTCGAGCCGCCGCACACGACATGCATTCTTACTGAGAGGCCCTGTGCGAGACTCGCGCAATCCAGCTGCCTTTGCCGGTGGGATTGGCGGCATATGATGGCTCTGGGGGTAAGAAGGCTGCTTGGTGCATGGTCGGGCGAAGCGCTGGCTGCTGGCTGCTGGCTGCTGCTTTACACCTGCACAAGCTGTGGCGCGATCCAGATGCGGCAATGCACTCGGACTCTCAAAGACGGCCTCACACGACAGCGTGGCAGCGAAGTGGTCGTTCACATTGATGTCTGCCCGCGTCCATGGCTCGGCGCAGTGCCCTCAGAGTGGAGTCCTACGCCCAGAGTATATCGTAAGGCAACCGACAGAGTTGTGAGCCTAAAGAGCCACCCAAAGCGATCATCGTTATGGCTTGGCAACAGATGCTCTGCTTTGCTTTGAGAAGCGCCACAGCCGTTGCCCCTACCCCTACCCCTACCCCTACCCCGGTCCCCGTGACGTCCCCAGTGTCCCAGATCGGACCTTATTACGATGAGTGTTCGCCTCTGCTTCTCCTGATGATGATGCCGCAGCACTCCAGCGTGCCTGGTGCCTGGCAACTACCGTACCTTTCTCTGTACCTCCCGATAGCGACTTGCCATCCAATGGACCGTTATGGACGTATGGCCACATTGAGCGCTTCGTCATCGCTTCCCCCGGTCAATAGTCTACCCTCTATCATCACCCGGCTCACCCTTGTCATCTCATCCTAAATCGCGACGCCACATCTGGAAATGCATGGGGGAGGCATGTCGAACCTTTGTCCCGGCGGCTCGCATCTCAAAGCCCTGTCTTCGCGCTGGGCATCCTGTTCAACGGCTACAGGTTTGTTGTCTACTCGACCTACCCGCCCCGATACACTTCCACCTTCCCTAACTCAATAATCAACTCCTACCATCGTCGGGTTGTGTGCCACGACATTGACCGCAAGTCGATCAGCAAACACCTACGCCTCCAGCTGACCCGCACAGCATGGTATACTCCACGCTCGCTCCCTCTGTACCTACGCAACGACCACATCTGCAATGCGACATGCATTCCTCCAATGCAAGTGCCCTGACTCACATTCGACTTCTTTCCGGCCTTTCAATCCTTTCTTCCTGGACAGCTACGGAGGACATGTACCTGACATCCTACACAACCAAGCTACCGATCTCTGAACCCATCAATCTATGCCGCCGCTGACGAACCACCCGAGCCGCGACAATGCGTGCGAATGTCGTGACTGCACAAGTCCCATCGGTACACCCTATATCCCGCGTGTATTATGAACAGCCACGCTCTGCTCGATCCAAGCTTCCAACCAGGATCTGCATTCTGCAATATCTCGCCCGTCTGTATGCCGTGACCGTCCTTTCATCGATCTTCTTTGACGACTTGTAGATTAATAACACCAACACCCAACGCGCACCGTTGCCCGAGCGAGGAACGGTAGATTGGGTCCTATAGGATGATATATTGATGCTGCCCGAACGATAGATGGCCACGTGGCACGCGATCAGTGCTCCAAGTTTTGCGCTGTGCAACAACATGGCTGTGGCCCAGAATCTTTCCACCCTGCACCTGGCAAGCCACCCACTTTTTCCATCGAGGAACAACCAGGTCTTCTGAGATTTTGAGCTGCACCGATAGACACCTTGTACCACCAAGCGTGCACTTGCCTCCCTGGGTCGAATGAACGAATGCTGTGACCGGGCCGAAAGGTCGCCGAAACGAAACGAACGACAGCTGCTATAGGGAGTGCTTAGATTGTTATGAAAAGTCTTTTCGTTTTGGATGCGAACGCTTCGGGCAGGAATGCACCGCCTCAAGACCTGTAAAGGTGTCTGTGCTACATAAGTCTCCAGGCAGAATTTCATTTCTTCTTAATGCAGATCACGAAGAGAAAAGCCTCCGAGAACAACTCTATATCCATAAATTCGCGGCCCTGATTCAGAACGCCGATTTGTCCCACATCTCTTTGCTGACCTTCTCTCTTACACACTCCATAGCGCCTTGCTTGAACGCTCCAGTCTAATCATACACATATTGAAGCTTCTTGCTCTTCTTAGACATCCAAGTCAGGTAACCAGAGCATCACCTCTTTATCCGCGCTAGCCAAGAGGTTATGTCTGGGATTGTACGCGACGACCTTCGCTGACTTTGTGCTCGGTAGTTCGGTCATGGGTTCCAAGATGTGATCATTGGTGGGATCGTTCTTGCAGTCCCATACCTGAAGACCAGTCTGCTTGCCATTGCCTCCGACCACGTACGAGCCATCAGGCGAGAAGCAGGCGTTGGACTGGACATAGGACGGCGTCTGGCCATCGCTCGGTCCTGGGAGAGCCTCACCTGGAGCACGATGCGAATAGTCTGCTCCATGCGGGCGATTCAAGTAGTGGAGCAGATCTCCCGAGAATGCGTCGAGAACGTAGTGTCCTGGTCCATTTGTCGACAGCAGTATATATTTACCATTGTTGGAGAACTCCATGCCTAGCCAGCCTTCACCATACTTCTGCCCTTGTCCTCTGAACTGCTTCTCGATCGGCTCCACGTCGAAGGTCGCAAACGGTGGCTTGTCGTAATTCCGTAGATCGTATAGAGCGATTGCTTGCGCAGGCGGACTTGCGATCGCAATGACGCTGGCGCTTGGATCGTAGGTGGTCAGCCATGGCGACTCGAAGTTAAGCTGGCCTTGCGCGTTGGGAGAACGGCAATCCCAAAGCTTGACTGTGTTGTCCATGCTTGCGGACATGAACTGGTCGTTGCTAGGCGATAATGAAAGGCTGGTCACGCGACCTGTGTGGCCTTTGAAGTATCGAATGAAGCTGTTGTCGTGCATGGACAGGTATCGTATGCCATCGTCTACTTTGGTGGAAGCGTAGATGATGGATGTGCTGTGGTGTGTGAAGCGAGCCAACGCGCTGCCATATTTCTGTGATTTGAGCTCTTTCGCGTGTTGTCCGGCTTTGGTGTTGAAGAGTTGTATGGTGCCGTCAGTCCGTGACAAGAGCAAGAACTCCCCGCTGTCGTCGAAGTCGATGGATGTGTAGGCTGACGGCGAGGGTGCTTTGAAGAGTTTCGTGGGTCGGAAGCTTGCAATGGTGTCCTGCACCTTTGCCATCGGTGGCACCTGCTCGGTCACCATCTTCGCAGTATTATAGATGCCGGTGTTGACGTCCTCCAGCAGTTCACACGATCAAGCTCTAACAAACGCGAGGGCATGGGCATGAGCATGTGAAACTCGAATGCGGCTAAAAGATGCTGGTCCGCTGCTGCACCTGCAAGGCGGGGCTGCCCTTATAATGAGGCAGAACCCAAGCCTCCGCACTGCCACAGCGGGTCACCTACGGCAATGTCCGAGCGATGCGCCGCACCACCAGCCGCTATACTAATTAGTTAGCAAAGCGTAGAATTCAACATTCTGCATGCATGTCAGAGCCAAAGAGGCTACACGTGATTGGCATGTGATCAGGCCGAGTGAAGCCAGGGTCTCAGTGCCTCAGGCAGGGCTTGGCGCTTGGCGTTGGGCCAACTCTCCTGCCTTCCTCCCTCTCCTCCTAGATCCTTATCGAATACTACCTGTACCCGCCACTACCCTATCTACCTGCTAATATAACCCTTCTTATACAGTATTCGATCCACCCTTTAAGGGCAGTAGCTAGATAGTCCTTATTTTAAGCTTTTAGCGGTATAGCTACAAATAAGACTAATCTAACTATATTACGCCTTAAGAACAGGACCTACACGTACTATTCTATCGAAACAACCGTACCAATTATTAAGTAAGGCCTTCTATACGGCCTATTATACTAAGTTAATCGCACTAGACTAATACCTACTAATTCCGCTATATCCGTATCTTAGGGGCTAATAATATATTATTAGTATTACCCCCCTATTACAATAGCCGGCTTATTACGAAACAACAACCGTACTGCCGCCGGCAGCGCTAGTAACGACAATGCTAGTAGCATAGTACCTGCTAAAGTGCCTACTAGAGTACCTACTAAAGTGCCTCCTACCGAAGAGCCTACTATAGGACCTACTAAAGAAGAACCTACAGTTCTAGGTAACGACCTAGAATTGCCTATCGACGACATTCTTAACAATATTGTCAACCGTCGATATAGCTAGCTAGCCTTTAGTCCCTAACTAGTAGCGAGACTTTAGGAAGCTACCTAAAACAGGCTTACTGCCTTACGTTAAGAATAATAGCTAAAGGATAATCTCCTCGAGATTCGCCGTCTATAGGAAGCCCTAACAACTAATACTAAGCCGATAGCAGGGCCTTCCTTACTACCCGTCCCTATCTAAAAGAAGGATACTAAGCTTAAGGACTATACCGTATTTAACGGTTCTAGTCGCAAACAATATAATAATTATATACGCGATTGTAAGCTTAACTAACGAAATGCGCCGAGGGCTCTTCTAGATAACTATTCACTAGTTGTCTACGCGATGTAGTATATTAATAGCGACCTAAAGCGCACCTAGGATAACTATTTCGACTCCCTTACCGATTAGACCGCTGTTTAGTAGCAAGACTATAAGACTATTATACTAGATACCCTTAGAAACCCTATACTAAGGCAACAATACGCTTAGGACTAATACCTTCGAGCTAAACAAAAGACTAATTAATCGGCTCGCTTATTTAAGGCCTATTTAAAGACCCTCGAGGATAATTTGCTAGCTAAGACCGACTCTATCTAGATTTCCGAAATACGCCCTAAATTGCGATAGGAGCTTATCCTCGAATTAGACCGTCGCCGTGTGTTCGAACAAGCTAATCTAATATGTATTTAATTTATAGTCGAAGTAGAAACAGCCGAACGGGCTGTTTAGCTTTAGCAACAGCTAGAATTAAGGATCCGACCTACTAGCAACCGTAGCAACCGTAGCCGCGGAGGAAACTAAGGTTCCTACTAAGACAACAATACTAACAATAGGAACAGTAACGATCGTAGAAGAGGCCGTAGCCGGCGGCTATATAGAGGAGGCCGCGATAGGGGCCGTAGAAGGGGCTCGTATCTCTATAATGCTAACCGCTCGACTAATAATAGTAGTAACAATAGCTACGGTAACAATCTCCTAACCGGATTAAAGTGCTTTAACTGTAATAGCACTAGTTATCTACTAGGCTAATGCGACAAACCTAAGGACTAAGCCCGAATCGACCGTGCTACCGCTAAGTACCGTAAGTACCTTTTAGCCGCTAATGCTACCCCTATCGGTCCTTCGAAAAAAGAGTAAGCGCCGCACTAACTGTTAGCCTTATACGGCGTAAGACTATCGATATTATACTAGCTATAATACGCTCCTGCCTTATATAGGACACGAAGGGCACTACCTATTAAACTAAGGTTATACTAGATCTAGGAAATTCAGTTAGCGCTCTTATTAGCTATCGCCTAGCTAAGCAATTAGACCTTCGACAACTGCCTAGGACTAACCTACTAACCCTTACTTAGTTTAATAACGCTCGGCACTTAACCTACGGAGCCTACTATATTCCTATAGCTCTAAAGGACGACCTCGGAAATAAACGCCTACTAGACTTTACTACCTACGTAGTAGATATAGACAACCTATATAGGGGAGCTACTATTGTTATTAGCAACCCTATTCTCAAGTACTACGCTATAGCTATAGACCTAGGCCTCTAGAAGTAGCGATTTAGAATCGCTAGGAAAGAGGACATTAAATACATTAATGTTAGCGAGTGCCCTAACGATATTAGGGTCCTGTTTATTAGCAACCTAACACCTGCCTTAGCTAATCCGATAGCTAATTTTCTCGGTAGAGATAACGATGAACCTATACCCTCTAATAGCATAGATCCTAATTAGCTCTCTCGTATACTAGTGCCTATTCGAGAAACCTATATTAATGTATTTAAACACTACCTAGTATCGACATTGCCTATATTTAAAGAGACGGATTATAAGATTGATATTATAGAGAGCAAGGAGGTTCCTTTTAGCCCCCTCTATAACCTTAGTAAACGAGAGCTTGCTATGCTGCGTAAGTACCTAGAGGAAAACCTAGCTAATAGTCGAATCCGATATAGCAACAGCCCTGCTAGTGCACCTATCCTGTTTGTGCTAAAGAAGGATAGCGGCCTACGTTTATATGTTAATTATAGAGGGCTTAACGCTATTACTATTAAAGATCGCTGTCCACTTCCTTTTATTAATAAGACCCTCGATCGCCTTTCTAGTGCCTACTTCTATACTATACTAGACATTAAGGATGCGTACTATCGTATCTGCATTCGTAAGGGTAACGAATAGAAAACAGCCTTCCGTACTCGCTATAGCCATTTCGAGTACTTAGTTATACTATTCGGCTTAGCAAACGCCCCTATAACATTCTAGTCCTATATTAATCGGGCCCTGTTAGGCCTATTAGATCACCTCTGTATAGTTTACCTAGATAATATCCTAGTTTATACACACTTACCTAATATTACAGAACACTAGGCTATAGTACAAAAGGTCCTCGACCGCCTACGGGCCTATAGCCTATATTGCAAGCCTTCTAAATGCACCTTTACTACTAAGGAGGTAGCCTTCCTTAGTTTTATCGTATTAACTAATAGTATTAAGGCTAATCCTAATTAGATTAAAACTATTACTAAATAGCCTATTCCTACGTTAATTAAGGAGCTATAGTCGTTCCTCGGCTTCGCTAACTTCTACCGTCGGTTTATTAAGGGCTATTTACGGCATGTAATGCCCCTAACTAAGCTTACTAAAACTAAGGCTAACCCGTCTAGAGAGTTTAAATAGACTAACAAGACGCAAGCCGCTTTTAACGGTCTAAAGCAACGCTTTACTAAAGTGCCCCTATTACACTATTTTATACTAAGCAAGCAGATCCGTATTAAGACTAACGCTTTATAGTTCGCTATATCGGCTATTATATTATAGCAATTAGATAAGGACTATTACTAGTACCTAATTGCCTTCTTTTTACGAAAGATAATCGATATAGAGCGTCGATACGAGACCTACGAGTAAGAGCTCCTAGCTATTATCGAGGCCTTTAAACATTAGAGGCACTATCTCGATAGTATATAGCACACTATTTAGGTCTATATAGACTATAACAACCTCCGTAGTATTACTAAGGTTACTAGGGTTATAGGTCGATAGGCTAGATAGGCCGTCTACCTCGCTAGGTTTGATTTTAATATATTATATCGGCTAGGCGTAAGCAACCCTACTAATAGCCTATCGAGGCGACCTAATTACGATAGCGAGACTTAGTATATTAATTCATTGTTTCCAACCCTGTAGTATAAGATTGCTATAGCCCGTATTATTAATAAGCAAGCGTAGGATAAGCGGACTTCCGGACCCCGCGGCGGCAACAAATACTATAGCGGAGTTGTCGTTCTTCTAGTATACGTTAAGAAGGACGTAGATCGCTCGAGCTATAATAACTCGATTAAAGATATTGCTATCTATAGCGACAGCACTATAGAAGAGGTTATAGTAGTTCCGGCTGCTAGTACTATTAGATATATATAATACGTACCTCGTTCGATAGTACGGGTACTATTAAATAACCTTGCAAATAGGGATAGTTAATCGTTTATAGATAAGCTATTACGTACTTAGCAGAGGGACGCCTTTACTATCGAGCGTATTAATAGGCTTGTAAGTAGGCGGACGACTCGATCTAGTAAGAGTAATAATAATTAGTCGATCGACGATAAGGGTTACTTAAAGTTTAAGGGCAGATACTATATCCTCGCTAAACAATCGATTAGATAAGAGCTTTTAAAGAGGCACTATAATAGTAAGCTCGCTAGTATAAGGGTTAGTAGCTAAGCAGTAAGAATATGCACGAAACTTTAAACTAAACTAAAGGGAGCACTAAATCAATATAGCTGCTATCTATATAAGACGAACTGCGAAGAAAGGAAGAAGGGTGCCTTAGAGGGAGAGCCTCTTCCTTAGTATTCCGCCCTACGGCCGTCTAGCGCGTCCGACGCGTAAGCGTAAGTACGTATATCCTGCTTGTCCGCTGTCTCGCAGCGCCTTTGTCTCCTAGCTAACTAGCGTAGCGCGCGTATACGAACTCGTTTAACCGCTCTTAAGCAAATATGTTTCT